TTACAGCAAATGTTTCAGTCTGTAGTTGGAACCACAGAATATTTGGTGGGAAGGAGCATGCAGAAAATTTACAGAGCTGTCTAAAGATTCAAAGTCAATGACTGTATACATTGTGCAGCAAGACTGTGGTTGTACAGACACATTTAAGCATGGGCTGCAATTGCCTCCACAAAATTCTGCCATCTTCCAGATATCCTCTTCTAGCTATGAGGGTTGGTTTTCTGCACATGCATCCTTCCTTCTGCATTATACCATCTCTTGTATGTTAAGGTCATTTTGGGCACAAACTTGTTCACTTCTTGATGGAAATGTAAAAGATAATGTATAAAGGTAAACCTCTGCTGAAGACCTACTCCTAGGACATACAAGGAAAAATAGAGTAGGTATTATGAGGTGGATTTAAATTTTTTTCCTTCTTTCTTTTCCTTTTCATTATTTATTTGATTATATAGTTCTCCCATTACCATGTCACTTGTCAAGTAAGACAGCAAGCATCTTTCAGCAGGAGCTGTTTGTTTCTTTTGTTCTTGTTTAATTGTGCTTTGTTTTTCTCCAAGGTTAGGAAGGTTCAGTCGTGATGGGAGCTATTGAGATATACTACAACTTACTTATTTTCTAATACAACCACACTTGCAGATAATGCAACTTGAGAGGCAACACAGCACTCATAATTACCTCTTCATTCCAACTTGGCATTCTCCCAAACCTACTTACCCTAAAGATGCTTGAAGTAGAAAATCATCAAAGATATCTTAATAGACCTAAGTGTCATACAGATACTAGAATTTTCCATTTATGTGTGATTTTCTGTGTGTGCAAAATAGGTGATACCTACTTTTAAAATCCTTTAGTGGTTTCTTCTGTTATGAAGGGTGATCTCATTCTGTTTCCCTAGAAGCTAACATGACACTAGGTTTATTCCAGCTGAAATTCTACAGTATATTGATCTAAAAAAACCCTTTATATGAAACAAAAGATGTTAATATTGTTAATATTACAGGACGGTTAGTAATGTATAAAATCTCCCAACATCATTTCATTACATTGATATCTTCCATACTATTTGCTCATGCTTTATTTCTGAAACAAAGACATAACCTCATTTGCTGCAAATTAACTATATTTAAGTCAGTATGAAAGTTATTGACATGGATTACAGTATTATTTTAACTTCTATTATTTCACATCACATAATTTCTTTGTCCATAACTCCACTAATAGTGTTATATTTTGATTCATGGCCAGCAGTATTCCATTCCAAGAATCTAAAAGAGCTTAATAATTTTGGATGGGGATGCAAGGAAAAAAACCTAGGATAATTCCCTTGTCAGTAAAATCATAACATTAAAATCATCCTTTTTTTATTTTAAATTGGAGGAGATCAGTTGAATTTGTTTGCTGTGGAAATTTAGAGGCTGTTTAAATATTTAAGCACACAATTTAAAGGTTGAACATCTCATGCTTTTGAATAGTTAGTAAAAAAAGCTTGTGGGCATTCATCTTCTCTACCTTTACACATGTTCTTTGACGGGGGCAGAAGGCAAGCAAACCTTATCACTGACATCTGCTTTCTGTACCCCTCAGTAGATCTCTTTGCAACTGTCTCCCCCTAACAGATGGAGACTTGATTTCCTTCATCTACACACACACACACACACACACTCACACACGCGCGCACACGCACACACACACACACACAAAACTTTCTAGGGAGCACTGCATGTACTGTCTGAAAAAAGTAATTTGGAATAGACCACAAATTCTGTGATTCATTGCTGTAAAAACTAAGCAGTTGCCTCAGATGCCCTTTCAGACTCAGTGGAAAAATAAGTAGGAGATTAACCTTCATTTCAGTTTTTGCTTCTGCTTCTTCAGGCTATAGAGAAAGTGAACTGCATCCCAACCGTTGGGACCACCATCCCAGATGTCATATTTGACTCCTCAGAACCTCTGGTCTAACACACAGATACCATTTAGAAATTCTGCTGGTGCTCCAACTTTAGCTTCTAGAGAATACATCCTTTTTCCAATCTTCTTTACAATTTATGCCACATTATCTTCTCTGGTCTCTTATACACATATACTGTATATCTTCATCTGAAAAATTGCTGCTCCTGAATTCTACCTTGTTGTCTGGACTTTTGATCCTATTTTTCCTTGCTGAATGATATAATATACTAGCAAAGTTTTTGATTACCATTTTCACTACCCACTTTCCAAATTATTCTCTGTTCCAAAATTCATCCTGCTTCTCATGTTTCATTTATTCTGACAATGGTCTGAAGAGCCTGATAGTATCAGAAAAAATATACACAGTTTCCTACATCAAGTAAAGTACCTAAGATATGCCCTTTGAGTACCCTATGCTGCTGAAATGTGTTTTTTGGAGAACGACTTCTACAGCGATGTGTTCTTTAGTAAGCTGTGCAGATGTGTAAACATGCAGTTCACATGCATTTCGTTTCACCTCTTCTCTGCCTATTTGTTTATACTTGGCTGATGAATGCCTCTGAGCATGATCCTGTCCTTGTATGGCTTTGAAATGGGTAGCCAGTGGGCAGCTTAGCAAGGGACACTGTTGCTAACAACACCTTGCCCTAGCTGGGGCTAGAATAGCTATGATCTGTAAGCATTCCTCATTTTAAGATAACATACACATTGTCAGGTAGGATATTCCATGGATGGCATTTGCTGGGAAAATACAATGTAATTGGTAATGCTGCTAGGTACTGGCTCTAGAAGCTCAGTTTGAGCTTTTATTCTTTCCTTTCTCATATTCCTCACAAAGGTGGGCACAGAGTCTGAGTGATTGCTGAAGAACAGCAATGTTTAACATACTGACCCACTATACTTTAACACCATTACAGAGTTAAATGTTGCAGACAGGCCAGATTGTACAGACTTCTTTTAGATTAAGTTTGAGTTTTAGGACTACTGTGTTTATTGATCTACTGAAGCTTGGGATTTTGGTCATATTTTCTCTGATCTTGGTATTGTTAAAACATAGAGCTCAAAAACGATTTGATCTTTATACCAATAAAATGAATTAACTCCATTACAGCACTCTATAATTATTAATCATGTTATATTTTCAGTACTAGTGCAATTCAAGCTTGATTTAAAATTATGTCTTAGGAGTTCAAGGGAAACAACAAAGTGAGTAAAGACATTAGGCCTTTTGTTTCAATGTGTAAGAACCATAATTTAAATTTTTCAAGTCAAGTCTTGCCATTAGCTAGAGAGAACTTGGCTCTGCTCAAAGAAACAGACTTCTGTCAATGACAAGAACAATCCAAAAGAGTAAAAACAATGAACACAGAAGGCTGCACTGCACCCATGGGTTCAAAACAGACAGAGCAAAGATGAACATTTATCTGAGCTTTTAATTTGTTCTCACCATTGCAGACATATTAACATGTATACCATGACTTCATGTTGCTATGTACTCCTTCAGTGGAACAAAAGAATAACAAAGAAAAGAAATGGGCAATCAAACTGAACTCATGTCTGTAGAGAAATCACGTATCTTTTTTAGTATAAATATTGAAAAACCTTTGCTGCATAAGTCACAGTCAGACTGTATGTTAAGCGTTCAAAAGATTTTGCCAATTCCATAATTCCCCATGTCCTAATTTTGAAGTTCAAAGTACACTTTAGGTGAGAGTGTTACAGCTTTGACACTAGGAGGAGAGCGTAAAATACAAAATTGTCAGTACATTTTAAACAGGAAGATGTAAGTTTTTGCACACTCATCTGTGACATGGCTGTTTGTGAGGAGTACCAAGAGGATAAAGTTCTTCTCTCCAGAGGGCACTGGGAACACTGTATAACTGTCTCAGCATAGCCACATAGCCTCAGCAAACCCAATTTGAATGACTGCTTCAGTTAACAAAGCAGATGGTCATTTCTCCATGGCATACTTTCTACTGGTGCTAGTGCTAAATGAGGCCAGTTTTAACTGCACTGATGTAGTAGGGAAATGGAAATATTAAACGTTATTGCCAAACATATCTTCTTATAAAAGTAATACTGCTACTGAAAGTTAGTTGCTTCTGTTGTTTAAAAATAATGGTTATGCTATGTGCTTTTGAAGTAGCTAGTTACTCACAGAGTACTTGCAGCTAATTCTTGGAAGGGTGGCTAGTCATACACTGCTGGCTTTAGTCCTTGTTTCCAGCTCCTACATCACATGAAAGACAACTAAAAATACATTAAATACTTCTCCATACAAGCAAGTAAAAACACTGAAATAATGTTAGGTGCTGAAAGTAGAAGTGTTATGAGCAAAGTTATGAAGAGAAGCAAAGGAAATAAAAAAGATTAAAATCTTTCTACCGAAGTGTGGTCTGTGATACAGCAAGAGAAAACCTTGACAAGGTTCAATTTCAGCATGTTTTGGATATTCCAAAACTGTATCAGATATTCAAGGTCTTTCACAGATTTAACCAATGTTATTTGTTACTGTTTAGCCTATACTTATCCACCTCTCAAAACTCATATGCCAAGGAAATAACGTAACGCCAATTATGCTGAGTGTTCATAATAATAAAATAATAATAATAGAATAACAATAATAGATGCTTCCCAGATGCTAAATGGTTTATGTGGAAGTTAGTAGGCTAAAGGTGCTACTTTGAAAGGCTGGAGGGTGTACTTTACTGGAAGCACAAATAAAATGTGCAAACACAAATTAAAGATATATGTAAATGGTAAGGCTGGAGCTGGCTACAGTTTCTGAAGTTGCCTTCCTGCCTAACAACACAGTAAGTTTGTACAGATTTGCATTGTATTGAAGATTTAATTCATACTTCATATTCCTTGTTTTTATTTATATTGTAGGCTCACTGTGACTACCAGCTTAGGGTTGTTTTTTTCTGTTTATAGCCTTATTGCTCCCTCAGCTGGGACATCTGTACACTTTTGATTAGGGTGATTCTTATTATGAACTCAGCTTACAAAATGTATAATGCTGGGAGGCACTAGAATCAAGGATTACTCACCTTAGACCAGTCTCCCATTCTCCAGACGTAGCATTTGGAATAGTCCTCACAGTCCTCTGCCTCTTTAGGTCTTGTGGACAAAACACATTTCTTGCGTGGATTGGTGCACCTCACAGTCCGATGCCGTACTCCCTTACCACACTTTACAGAGCACTGTTGAAGAAATTGTTTTTTAGATTTCTACAAAATTCACTTACCCCATTTCATCCCCTTCTATATGACTTCTGCCAAGCCAGCATAAATATTTCACAGCTCCAGTGATCTCCTAACTTCCAACCTTCAATTGCATCAACACTAGATTTATTAAAAGCAAAACTAAACAAAAATTCCTTATGGGATAGAATGAAAATTGATTAATTTTTAGTTAAAATTAGATAAAATCTTGCTTAAGGAAAAATAGGCTTTTAAGTAAGAAAGTATCTGAAAAGTTATGATTAAATGAATGCAAAATGTTATACTAAAGATATTAGGCAGTCTTTCTTCTTTGAATGAAAGGAAATACAATGAAAGAAAATCAAAATAACTTTCATAGGAATAAGATATGAATCAGCTTCAGAAAAGCTCTGTTAGTATCCAACAGCCTTTTTGGGAGAAGTAAAATAATTTAGAATGGAAAAGTAGATATTCCAAAACCATGCAAGAATCCAGACTGAACCTGAAAATCCAAAGTCACTATATAGACAGAATGTGAAAGCTCTTTTCAAGTTGCTCAGAAGGCCCTAATCTATGGTTTTTTTCCACCATTCCCACTTACACAGCCAAAAATGATGCCATTTCCTTCTCAAAACATTATCACTGCTTTTGATCATCCCACTGCTTGTAGTTCAAAACTCTCCTCTGCCAAGCTGATTATAACCGCAGGAAGCAGTAATGGCTAGCTTCCTACATAATGGTGATAGTAGGAATGGCCACGGGAAATATCACACCCTCCAAAATATATTTATCACTTCCAACAAAAACATGCTCTCTCATTTCTCATCTCTGAAGTAAAACAAACTGACTGAACAATCTGTATATTTCTTCTTCTCACCTCTGTAAATGGATGCCTTTCTTCTCACTACCAGCCCTTGCATCATAAAACCGTATATCACATCAGAAACTGCTGGTATTTGCATCTCCTATCTCCATCTTGGCATCTGCTTTTCATCTTTGAAAACATTCCCTATTTGTTAGCTCTTTCTTGCTTGGAGATCAAGGTGTTCTGCTGAGTAGAGCAATTCAAAGAAGGGACTGCACCCACATTCTGAAACTGCTATTTGTATTTTGATCATGGAGGGATCCCTAGCACAGCTTCTAGTATGGAAGGCAATCAGAATTGCCTTTACTCTTTTACTTAAGGGAGAAGTTCCAAATAACCCTTTCATCTTGTCCAGACGGCAGTGAGAACAATGCTCTTCTTTCTCCAGTCAGTTAGTTTTAGAAGAAATTAAAGATGAAGAAAGCGAAATGGACAAGCACATTTAAAGATCTTAAATCAACAAAACTTTTTGAATAAAAATTATATTTTACAGCAATCCTTCAGGATGAAACCTATGTGAAACAGTGTTACTTACAAGTCCATTTGCCTCTTGCTGCTGGCTTTTGGAAAAAGAGCAGAGAAGAAAGAGGAAGGGAAGAAAACATCTTTCTTTGCCAGAGGTTCCTCTCAAAGCCTCTCTGAAGCAGGATAGCATCAGCAATCTGCTGCTCAACATCCCTTGGTACAAAAGTACATCCCAGATGTTCCCACTCTGAAACCAAGGTCTTGTAGCTGGTAATTGTTAACGGCTTAATTCTATTTGCCCCTGGTTACCCATTACTACAGACAAGACATACTTGATTATATGTGCCAGAGAACTGGCCAGAAGAGACTGTTGCACAACATTAACTAGGTAAAATGCAGTAGTTCTACACAGATGGTTTTCCTAGACCCTGAAGCCCGAACCTTTGCCAAAACATTGCATGAGGACCATGAAAATCATTACGCTGAGCTGTGCTACTTGACGCTGAAAAAAACTTAATTTCCAAAAAATACTAAGGTACAAATAACAACTATGGAGTATTTGTATAAATAAATGCAGTACCTCAGACCAGACGCCTGCCTCCCACACTGTCATGCAGTCCTGGCCTTCACAGCGCTGTGCAGAAGCAGGCTTTGGCCCCAGGCAATCCCTCTCCCTAGCTCTAATCAGGGTCCCATTTCTGAGCTGCTGTGTGCAGGCTACTTGTCTGTTCTGGGTTCCTTTTCCACATGTCCTTGAACACGGTGTCCATTCTGTCATCATCCATCTGCAAACAAACACAGGCAGTGTAGTAATATGAAATCAGGAAGGGAAAAATACCATCACAACTTATTCTCTTGCTCACCAGTGTGTACACCCAAGACACACTTGCATATTTTCAGTCTCATTTTACTGTCATTTTGCTAATGGAATAGTTATTAATCTAACATATATTACATTACATTACATATGGTATTAATGTAGCTATAAATTCCTTCCCCAGTCCACTACCCCTATGTTTTCAAAGTACTTTCCTCTAATTATAATCCCAAATTTCCAAAATATATGTACATTGTTATAGAAGACAGACCCCTGATCAGCCTGCCCATTGTTCTCTGTATGTCTGTCTATGTCAAGTATATGCCAAGCATGTAAAGTCCAGCATTCCTTCAAAATACTCTGTTGCAATAAAAAATCACCGAAGTGTGAAAGAGTCATTGCCCTGGAAAAAGCATAAAAGCCTACAATTCTTCATGTTCTTCAGAGTAAGGCCTAACAGGGTGCATGGTTTAAATCACAACAGCAAGGAAGGCTGATGCAGTTTGGCAGAGCCCACATACCTGGAGAGCAATCGTTCTAGAACATTATTTTCCACAGATGTTGTGTAGATCCACATTACGGCCATGTGCCCCTAAAAATCAAACAGTTCTGCCCCTGATGCAGTACACAAGTGTTTTCAAGAAGACTTAGTTTGCTAGGAGAGTTTTTAGGAAACTGAGATTTAATGAATTTGTGTCAGCCTTCTATCATGCATTTGTAGCAAGAAAATAAAACATTCAACTATGGGGTTTTTTGTTATCTGTCCAGACACATAATTTACAAATCACGACCTGTCAAGATAATGAAATAGACTTTAAGGTATTTCTTCATATGCCAATAGCAAATAAGTACTTATGCAAGTGTATGCTTTAGTGACATTTCTGTTGAAAGCTAATAATATTTTGTAATGATCACTTACAGTTTATCAAAATTGGATCATTAAATCTTTCTATATTTCTCAGTACAGCATCTCTGAATATCAATTAGCAAAGTTTTAAAATTTTCCCTTAATAAGCTGGAAAAAATACAGAATGTTGTGGTATGTTATGGTAGATAATGCCTCAGAAAAAGATCAGATTATTCCATTTCTATCTATTAAATGAACCGTGATGTTAATAAAAAAAGGTCTACTCAAATATGCATATAATTAAGTATAAATAATCCCTCCAAAGGATAATGGCCTAGTTTGGGGAAGACCAAATGTCAGTGGTTTTGTCTTAAAACGTATCCTATTTTTCATTTTATCAATTTCAGCCTTTCCACAAAAGCTTACCCTTTCCACAAAAGCTATGTTTTCTAGATCACTTTACATACTTCTTTCAGCAGTATTTGCATTTCATTTATTTTGCTTAAAAATGCTTAAAAATTATTTTGTTTAAAAATGCCATCTACCTGTCCTCCAGATGACTGCAGCAGGCTGATCCCAGGGCTTACTCCTGGGGATTCTAGCCAGTTCTTGCTAGCAGCTTTCCCCTTCCTTGAAAGGTGTGGACTTGCTCTAACTTGCTTTAAACAAGTACAGGCAATTATTGAGGACCTCCTCAAGTCATAATTCTTAGCTGCCGAGTGGCACCACTCTGCAATGTGCCAGCCACTGGTCAGCCAGTGCAAGGAACAGGATCAGCTGCAGAGACACCAGTAGGTGGTGAGTGGGCTTTGCTTGGCACAGGCTGCTCGTGGAGCCGCCTCCTGCCTCTTGCAATGTTCAGAGTCTAGCTCAGCCTATTTACTGATAAGGACTTTCCTCTCATAGGGGAGAGGAAAGAGAGGAGCAAGGGGCAGACTCCCTATACTTCAAGTTGCATAAACATAGAAAGAGTGATTAACAGGGGTTTATTTAATTAGTTACTATTTAGGGTACCCAGAGTTTATTGAGAATTTGAGAGACGCGAAGCCTTATTTGGAAAAAAGACATTAAAACATATCATTAATTAAGACTATGAGGCTAAATCCCACATATGTCTTCATATAAACAGCATTTACATTTCAGTTTTGTAGCATAGATCAGTCTGTGAAAATACCTCCTGAGGAAAGGAATTAAACGCTTTATTGAATGAGAATTGATTTAGTCCTGGTGCTTAAGGACTCTCTTCTGTTAAAATTCAAGTGAAACAATTTCCAACCTTTCTATTTTCCCTACATTTTACATTATAACATTTTGGATGAATGTATTTACTGCCCATTCATTGACAGAAGCAGTCCACTGTAGGATTTTTTACATCTAGATATTACCATTTAATTAAGCAAATCACTATTACCTTGTCTGGCATGGCTGTTCGTTGCACTTGCGGATCTGTGGTTCAGGTTTTGTTAAATATTTGCACTTCTTGTTGTCCACAAGACTGATATTCTTGTTCATAATCTTCGTGCAAGAGACCGTTGTCTTTCTTTCACCTAGTAAAAAAAGAAGCGCGTTTGTGAGGAAACCAAAATTATGCAAATTATTAAGGACACAGTTACGGCTGTCTCATATATAGTTTGGCTAAAAGAATTGAAAAACCAGTGTAAGATATTCAAAGCTAGCAGGGATCTTGAAAGAAATCCTACAGTTTGCAGGGAAGACTGTGAATTTTAACATAGCCTTTGTATACCACCTTCAAGAGTTTTTCTGCTTTACTCCTGCAACTAGTTAGAGACCAAACCCTTACTCTTACTGGAATAATTTTCTTTCCCAGCTACTAAAACCCCAGCACTGACCAAAACTTGCAGAAAATTACAAAGAAAAGTATGGTTGTTTATTACTATATAAAATGAGGAAAGAAATGACGAATTGTCGCTGGCACTCTGACAAAGGGAATCGGCACATGCATCCTTCAGCAGGGAGCCTGCAACATTTCCATGAACTAAAGAGGCCAGATGACCTGACCTGCAGGGTTAGAAAACCATTTAGGAAGCTGGGCACCGCTGCAGAGATCCAGTGCATGCTCTGTACAGAATCCTTGTCCTGATGGGTGGCCTGGAGCCTGCTGTCTCTTGAACATGGAAGCATTAGAAATTACCAACCACAAGCATTAACTTGGAATTAGAGTGGAGCCTAAATACTAGAAAACTAGCAATCCTTGAATTCAGAATTTCAGATAGAAGAAAACAGGCTCATAACCCTTTGTTCTTATAGTTACTTTTACTCTGCCTGGAATTTTACTGGCAAACAGGCTGTGTGCATAAGCAGGGCAGGCTTAAGAATGAACGTTCACCAGAGGTCAAAAACGAGCCTGTGGACGGAGCAGTTAAGTTATAAATGAACGTTATGTGCATGCCCACTGCTGACTTTTTACACAGCGCTTGTGTACATGAGAGCACATGCATAATCTATCATATCACAGTGTTTGAAATGTTTGACAATCCTCTCTGCACTTACATATACATCTATGTGGTCATATTCCCTCCCACAAAAAGAAAGCTTTTCTGCAACACAGGAGGTCGCAGACCAGTTACATATATACACATACACAAAACCACATGGCTTCATCAATAGTTTTATCCTGACACATGCTTTGAGCATTTAAGCAGAACTATTGATAATTGTTGTATTATTTTTTCAGATTAATCAAAATTTTGATGTTAAATTTTAATCACAATTAGATACGGCAAAAGCTGCAGAATTTTAGCTTCATTATTGCTTGATATTTAAGCCAGAAAGTAAAAGAAAAATGAAAATAGTTTTGTCTAAAGTAAGAAAAATATTTCAGTACTATTTCAGAATATTTACTTTCTTGGGAACTTTGTAATAACTCGTCTATTTTAGACAATAACATTAAATGAAGGCCAGTTACAACAGAAAAAAATATAAACATTAGAGTTAAACATTTAAATATTTATTTAAGCATTAATGTAGAATAAATTACTGACATACTGCATTTTAAGATTTCTATAGATAATAGAAATATTTAGAAATATCTGGGGCAATAACGACAGATTGTAGTAGCATTAAAATTATTATAAAAATACATCAGAAAACTATAAAAACTGTGAATTCACAAGTCAAGAGGGATGCACTACTAAGAATCAGAGGATGCTACTAGCACCATGAGCAAAATACCTTCTAGGGAAGACGCTTTCTTACCAAGCCACAAAAAGCATGTTTATGTAAATTACAGCAGTCTTTCATGACACCAGGATTGTTCACACAGTCAGAAGAGCTAGAACACTGTGTTCTTTATGCTGATGTTATGAGAAAGAAAAGAATTTCTTTCTCATAGCCTGGAGGCTTTTCTATTCAATCACAAGGTACATAGCAGTTTTCAGAACTGTTGATCAGAGCAACCATGACTGTCAAGGTTGTCAGCATGAAAGACAGGTATTAAAAATCAATATGGTGTTCACAGGCTGACTAACTGCACAAGGTATGAAAAGATCACCGTACACTGCAGTAATTTAAAGAAACAACCCTCTCTGAAGTGTTTTTTAAGTACAATTATAATTTTAAATAATATCTTATAGAAAACCGCTTGAAAGTTTTTGTTTTATCAATACTGCTCATATTCCAATATTTGTTTTCAGAATTGTATTTTGTTCTTCCAAAATCACATTTTTTATGGTTAATAAACATAGGAAAAATATCACATCAGCATGCTAATATCTGCTGTTGTAATATTTGTTCCATATGTTTCTGGATCATCTTCAACTCATGTTACTAACTGTACTTATTTGATCTTGAGACTGGGATTCAGCTTTTCTGTGGTTTGAAATGTCTCTTACAGATCATTTATCTTCAGTAGTTCCAAATACAGAGTGGAATGCACTTTCTATTCTTGTTCTAGTTCTTGCACTTCTATTTCTTCTTGGAAACTGTGTCCTGAATTTACTTGTTAGCCTAAATTTTGTTCCTTCATTACCATCTTTTACTACTTTTTATATTTAGTCTGAATATTTACCTAGAGCTATCACAGTATTTTTAATGCAATCAAAAAGCATGAAACTGATGTATGTCTACGTTTTATGGAAACATATAAGAAACAACGAGGATATAAGTATTAAATATACAACACCGACCATCAGAATCGTAATTACATATAAACAAAAAGTGTTAATACATGCATATAGGTGCACATTGTATACACACATTTGCACTGTGTATATGCATGCATATAGTATGCACATATTCATTTTTTATATATGTGTGTGTGTTTGTACATTTTTCTTATATTTTACCTCCTCCACATACGGCATCACAGTCTTCCCATGTGGAATGTGTCCACATGAAAAGGGGCTCTGGTACTTTAGAGCTCTGATTTTCAGGGAGAGGATCCAGTGGGATTGTGTATTCATAGTGTAAACCATAGCTCTGGTCATGGAAGAGCAGCACCTGCAAGATACAAAGGAAAACCATCCTACATACATGGGCACTACAGCAGACAAACTCCAAACAAGCGGATTGTCTTGAAAAGCACAACAGAATGACTTGATGCTCTACTGCATTTCAGCCCTCCTAATGGCTTTGCTAGAAGAGTATCCAAGTCAAGCCAATAGGAAAAGTATTTTGCTTAATTAAGAAAATTCCTTTAATTTAAAGGGTTTGAATTGTGAAGTACTTCCCCATCATCACTCCCTCTTTCTTTACGGTGGCTATTAACTCTTCCTCTCCTACACTGAAATGCATCAAAACTCAACTTCTTCATGGAGAATTTGGTGATTCCAATTCTGAAATGGTGATGCTGTCCTATAGTCAGCCAGGATTAAAAACACCTGAAATTAATTTGAATCTCTCTCCTTACTTGGCACATCAGCTTTTTGTGACATTGGCAGGAATGCTGAGACCTTCAATCCTGCCCCAACAACATAAAGATTGATTTTGGATTTAAATGCATTTTTTCACAAGCAGGCTGACAGACCCCTCTCTCCTCACCCCCTCCTTCCTACTTTTGTAGATATATACGTAAACATAAAAGCAGGTATATCGTACATCAATCTCATTGTCTTGAGGAGTCTGGAAAAAATATTTTTTACTATGCTATATCATAGGAATCAAGTAAAAAACCAAATTGTCATACCAGTAAATGTAAAGGTGATGTTGTGGGACCTTTGGCTGATATCTTCTCCCAGAGACCTCTCCGAACATAATGGACTGTGGTCCCAGCAATGTTGAATGTTCCAGAATGCTCTATCTTCCAATCACTATTGATTGACTGTTTTCCAGCATCCCTAAGAGCTGCAAAATACATGAAAAAAGCCCAATATAAAAGATGCCTGTGCCAGTAGTGATTTTTTTCCCCTCTCACTTCCTGTTTAGATAATTAAAAAAATAGTTGAAATTCACCTAACTCTGATTGCAAACATATTTATGGATCCTACTGTACATGAACTTCAGTTGGTATGTACTTCAGAAACAACTTCCAGAGGGAATGCCTGGCAAAATCATGTGCATTCAACATTACTTGAAGTTAATAGCAGTGTTTTAATGCCCGAGAAGATTGTCAAGTTCTAGCATAATTCATAATTTGAACACTGAATTACTTTAAGGCAAAGGGAACTATTTTCTGTTTCCAGGTTGGCCATTTCTATAATCCATAAAAGCAAGGGAAACACAATTTTCACAAGACTCTTCAAGATTTGTGGAACTAGGCTAAAACTTTAAAAAAAAAAAAAAATCTAAATAAATTTATAAATAAATAATAAAATAATAAATAATTAATGAATAAATAAATAAATAAATAAAATAATAAAAATTAATTCAGAATTCTTTCCTCTCTAATAACTACACTTGCCTTTTCTGCACCTTAGAATGTGATAAGATTTTATACACTTTCACCATGTGATTGCAGTCTTCTAACAAATAGGAAAAGCTTGTTCTTTTTGGCTGAATCATTTCTCATGCTGACTTAATTTATATCTAAAAATACGATCAAGCCAGGTAAGATACATTCCATACACTGAGAACAAAGGATTTGTATCTATAGTAAATGGAACAGATTCTTCTGTGAATGATCTGTAATTTAACTTTGTCTTAATTTATTTTATTCCAATCAGTTTTGAATAATCATGTGAAGTAGATTTGAAGACACCTTCTGTACAAGAAGTTTTACACATTTGACTTCATTGAAATTGCATGTTTGGCATCAGATTGTTGTAAGAGAACCTCTACATGTTCCAAAATTTCCCTTTTTAAAGTTGTAAGTTAATGTGAGTCACTCCTGTAATCATGTCCTCTCCTATTCATATTTATACTGTTATGTTTTGTTTCTATGGGAAACAATGGCAACAGGCCTATGGACTGGCAGGAATCCAATTGAATAAGACACCACTGATGTGTACCACTGCAGCACTGTGTAATAGATGTTAAGACCATAAAATCCATTAACACTGTATAACAGTCTTGTACTAAAAAGAACCAGTGATTCTACAAGATTTAAAAACGTGTATTTTAAGTTTAAGCATTCAAGTGTTAATGGTAATTAATTTCTATTTAGTGTTCAAACTGTTGGGGCTAATCCTCTTCTTGGTGGAAAAATTAAAAAAATACACTCGAACTTGCCAAGGTCCAGCCGGGTCATGCTGCTCAGATGGAGCAGCATCCTCTCCCCAGAGAGCAGCAGAAATCATTCTGTCTGGTCTTTAAAATGAACGTGTGTGCCACAGCATGCAGACATGTGCAGGAAACTGGAATCCCAGCTCAGAATACAGAAATATGCCAGATCCTGCATTTTCTGCTTTCAGATTCCTCATATGAGTCACTGGTCTTAGACAAAGTCAGAAAGTGTGTCCTCAAGCCTTAAATTTGGACTTGGACTGAGGCAGTGCAGCTTCTGTTCTTGACTCTGTCACACCCCATTTTGTAAGCCAGTCCACTGAGTTTTATTCTATACTGCACACATATTCCTATTCTTCTTAACTTTGGACAGAGGAGGTTGCTCTGTACAAAGTAACCCAAAATAGGAGGAACTTTGAGAATACAAGATATCCGCTATCAGGTAGTTCAAGCAATACACCTACAACTGAAAAGACAACCAAAGAAAACTTGAACTGGGAAAGCCTACCAAAACTGTAACCACAACCACAATTTCAGTACAAAACCAAGGAAACTAATTAAAACTATCTCTGTAGAGCATAAAACAGCCATCATAACAATGGCATTTAAGTGATGGTGATGAGTGCAATGAATTTTTTAATTACTGTGTCAGGACTATACACCCTTCTAATTTTAATGAGGTGTGAGAGGCTACACAGCCAGAAAGATAAAACAAATCACAATTCAGCTATTGTATTGCTTATTTCTCAGTGGGGAATAACAGTGTTGTGGTTCTAGTCCTCCGCTTGGTAAATCAGTACCTACTAATAATTTTTTTCATATGGAAATATCACTCTACTGTATTAACTCAGTGATTTTTTTTTCTGCATTGTCCAAAACACAGTTATATTTCCAGAAAAGTATCAAAGTAATGCCATTTTGACTGATCCTTCCTTTTCTATAGAAAATGTAAGATATCTGAAATTCAATTCTAAATGAAAGTACATTCACTGATATTTTTTGTCACGGAAATAATTGCTTCACTTTCATTCAGGTTATCAGGTGTCCCTTCAATCCATCTTAAGAACATTAAGACTTAATATTCAAATAATTTTTAAAAACAGCAGTGCTAAGGCTGACTGATTGCTAGTTCCCAGTGTCCTTTTATTATCCTAGCCTCTTCAAAAATCGTGCAACCATCCCTTTTCTTTGACCACCAGGGACTTCACTGGGCTGCCATGATTTTTCAAATATACTTGAGAGTATGTATCTATATTTCATATAGATATAGGTATATAGATATGTAGATATATAGATATATATCTTGAGAGTATATATATATAAAACACTACATTAGCATGTTCCCTCAGGACATCTCATTAAGTCCCATATATTTTTGTATGTTCACGTTGCTTGTGTTGTCTTAAACCTGATCTATGATGGGAGGAACTTATTCCACTGTTCCCTGCCCTGACGTTGAGGGACTTGAAAGATGTGGAAGAACTGTTCACCACTTAAGTTGAGGCAAAACCTGCAAAGCATTGCAGCCTTCTGCAGGATCATCATAACTTTTCCTGTCTTATTTTTCACTATGTATTGTGGGTGTGTATATATCCTTTACTATTCCCTTTCTGACTAAAAACCTGTAGAAACCCTTATTAACCTCCCCATTCTTTGCCAAAAAACAGCACTACTTGTGCCCCAGTTTTCCTGAACATATCCCCACATATATGAGCAGCATCCCTATAATAATTCCCAGGACATATGTCCCTGGTTCCACTGCCTGTGCATACCTTACAATCAAGGATTTAGTGCAATTTCTTACATTTTAGTTTGACCAGGAGGTCCTTACTCACCCATGCTATTCTCCTGCCTTCTTTGCCTGATTTCTTATATGTTGGAATGATCAAAAGCTTTTGCAATCAAGGAAAAATTATTATCCTTAAGTGTTATTAAAAAACTATTATCCTAAATCTTTAAAGAACTGTCAGCCCTTTTGCTCCTGTATACGCAAGGGCAGTGTCCCATTTATCAGTTCCTTTGACAACTGCAAGTTTGCTCTCATAAAGTCCTGGCTTTAGTCTTCACCTGGCCCATATTCCTAAAAATCCTGAATTCCAGCAGGGCATGATCATTGCAGTCTACGCGGCCACGAACTTCTCTAAATATTTCATCTGTTTTGGGAGGCAACCAACAAAGTCCAGGAGCACTATTACTCTGGTCTATAATTTCAATTAAGAAATTATTCTCAACACACTCCGAGAGTCTTCTGTATTGTTTACACTTGGTGTGCTGTTTTTCCAGTAGGTATCAGGTTACTCAAATTCCCAAGCCAGATCAGAGACTTTAAGCATGATGATTCCTGTAGCTGAAGTAAGAGAACTTACTCCACTTGGTTAGGCAGCCTGTTGTAACACCCAACAAAGAAGTTTCGTTTGTTAGCCTGTCCCTTAATTTTTACCTATAGGCTCTCAACCATTTCCTATGGTCCTTTATACATGAAAGGAAAACATGTTATGTTTCAGTGGACTCCGGTTTCTGCTTTGCTCTGGCGGGTGAGGGGGGAGATGGGACCAGGTTCTCAACTGGCTTCCCTTGAGATCTGAAATTACACTCTGCAAAGATTGCACAGATTTGGTTCTAGGTATTTTTAAAGTATTAACATTGTCAGAAATGAGGGATTCAAAACTTCTCAGACACCATCTGCTTTCCAACACACTCCAGTCCCGAAATGTGGCCCAACATGCTTTTTTTTTAACTGGGAAGCATTTAATGAAAGAGATCACATGGAACACAACACACCTATAGGCTGGATGCCAGTAAGACTGTTGGCAATTGCAATGTCATGCTGTGCTACACTGCAGATCTGAATGGTCTATAGCCCTGAAGTAGCCTGATCACATATCTGAGAATAGTGACACAGCTAATCCACTTTAGTTCAGCTGAAAATGAACAGTTTCTCTCATTTCTGATCAGCACAAAAGAATTTCAGGTTTAGGACGGTAAGTAATTTCCATAGTTATATTCCACTAACCCATCATGTTAATTAATTATAAAGCCTGGACCTGTCAAGGCCGTTTATTCAAGTATTTCATGAATAAGATCTCTAATTTTAATGCCAAGGTCTTCTAAGAAAGATATTTTAATTTTCCTTTTTGTATTCTGTATTAAAAATGTTTTTTGAAAACTTGCAACACTTGCCAAATATGAATGAAAATTTAGTAACAGAGATGGTATTATCTCATACCATAGGAATCTAGATAATGCTTGAAACAACTTTTAATAGCTGTTCTTACAATATTTTTTTAAGTAACTGATAGTGAACCAAGTATCAAAAATTGTTATCAACAGTGTTACCACTGCTAGTTCAGTCTTTAAAAATACATTAAAAAGTTCTATCTAAAAATAATAATTTTCAGTTCCAAAATTAGTAAGTGCATGCTTTAGGAAATATTCTTTACTTGAATAAATACTCCCCAACCACTATACTGCTACATGTAATTCCCACTCCTGAATACTGTACTGATAATAGAAGGATCACAAACTCTTGTGCTATTTCCAATGTAATTTCAGCAGGGAAGCATACCTAGTTTGGCTGTATCAGTCCTCCTGCTTCTCTACAGGTGAGGAGAGACAGACAGTTATCAATGGGTCAATTGGTTCAGTAAACACAGTTTCAAGTTTTACCTTGTCTTTTGTTCTGCGATGCCAGAGCTCCAGTTTCTATGGTGTATGTACTTCACACGAAGAAGACAACTGTTCTGAATACTTGCTTCAACACCACAATTATCCAATGATGCTGCGAGTGGGCTGTAGTTCTACTAATCAATTTAGCAAAATCACTGCCATTTCCAGATAGTAATGACTCTCTTTCCTGACTATCAAGTAAATCCAAAGAAAGGCACTATGTTTTGACTCCTTTTGTATTTGACCTCTCCAATGACTAGTTCCTTCAGTTAAAATTGCTTTCTGAGCAACAGCTACTAGTGTGTGCTGGAACACGCTGTGTTTACACTTTATTTCCATTTACACAATTATTAGCAGTACAATGAGCTATATTATCTCCAAATTACTTTTCAGATTTTTAATGACAGTGTAGTGAAGAATCTTATTCCTAAAATTAAAGACTTAAGCTCTCACCCCAAAACTTTCATTATGCTACGCCTATTCAAAAACTATTCCTTTGCAATTCAGATTCTGATGCTTTCAAAATAACCTATAAACGAAGAAAGTTTAAATACCCTGTGCTATTAAAAAAAAGGGTGCAACAACACAGTTTTAATTCAAGATACGGCAATGGGCCTATTACTGGGTCCCCAAAAAGGATTTAAAAAAAAAAAAGGAAAAAGAAAAGGTGTAGGGCTCAATGAAATATATTGAACAGAAATAGTGGCTGATCCTCCTTCAAACATAAATCAGTAAAATTAATTAAAATAAAATTAAGATATTAAGGTAACAAGCAACCAGGAGCTAATCGGCAGCTTTCCCAAATGAGCATCATGACTGACATTATTTCATGGGCATAAAAACCATTTCATTCTTTTAGCCTTTTGTGGAGTAAAGGTTAAATCAGTTTGCTACTCATGAAGAAGGAATAAATTTCCCTAAACACAATGCCAGCATTTATTTATTTATTTTTGCCTTAGTCAAAAAATAGAAAATAGTAATGTCAATAGAAAAACAAACTTCAGTTATTGTTTTAACACTCTTGTATTTCCATGACTGTGGTTCATTGGGGAACAATTAAATATTCCAGAACTCTAAACCTCCTGGAAAGGTGCAGGCCTCAAGGCAAACCAGCAGTCAGCCACTGACAACCTAAACTCTCATAAATAAAATTCACCATCTTCACCATTCTCTCAACTGAAGTACTGAGAATACTCAAACACTTCTTAAAATGTAAATATTACTTATGAACATAACTAAGAAACAGGGCATTTTTCACATCATTGTCCTATTTCTCATACTATATCTCTCTCAATTTAAATTTAAGCACTGCACAAAACAATAGCAATTATGATATTTCATATATTTGCTTAAACCCTGTAACAATAATGGTAATAAAGTTTACTCTCCCACATAACTTCTTTAGACCTCATTAAAAGATAAACACTTTTTTTTAATCAATGAAAGACAATTTCACTCACATGGAAAAGAAAATAATTGCAGAAAAAAAATGTGATCATGTTTATCTATTGGAAGATTCAGACAATTCAAAATAATGCAAAGAAATACTTTTCTGCTTTTTCAGTCTATTTTTACCACTTCTGTTTGACTTTGTTAGTGAACAGTGTGTCTTCTTGTTGTCTGAGCACAAATGATTTTATGTTTGAACATAAAATTCTTTTCAGTAGTTTCAATGTGCTTTCCATATAAAAAATTGAAAATGTGCAAGTATGCATATACATTTTTTTACATAATTTAAATACAGTGTTTGAAATATTCTCTAAAAAAGATGAGACAAAAGTCCAAAGGAAGAGCAATATTAAAAATTATTCTGTAATAATTTTTTCTGTTCCTTAGACAAGTTTTTCACAAATCTTTTGTTCTACTCAGAGCTTCAATGTCAAATGTTCAATGCCAAAATTTAGCTGTCACTCTTCAGTGCTGAGCAAAACAGGACATTAACACTAAAACATGTATAGTATTTACCTAAGTAACTGTGAGCTGGTTTTTCTTCCACAACTTTGATTCTCCTTGCTCCTGCAGGTATCACCAAAGCTTCCACATAACCTAAACATGAGACCAGATGTCCCAAGTTAAACATAAAAACAGAAAAGTATAGAAAAGTACATCTTGTATGTTTTCTCATTTCTTATCCCTATTTTGCTTTATAAATGTAGCAAGTTATAACTTATTTAGCAATATTTTGAAGATTCTTGCAAAACTGAAGAAAAGCTATGGAACTGTGCATTATATGTAATATATATACAATGCTACATAATTAAAAAAGTACACAGTAAAACACAGCAAGAACTAATGAGGCTTGAAGATTGGAGCTGGAGCAGGTAATGTTATTTCTGGCTAGGTAATTTAGTGTCATCATGACCACCAGATGACTAGAAAAGAATTCCAGCTTCACTCAGCATGAAAAGATAAATGGTATGGCACTAAAATCTAAGCCTCTGCCCACTGCTTGGTTTTTAGGATTTTTTAATGTATTTTTTGCTCCAGCTCCTTCTTAGTTTAATATATTCAAACCCTGCTATGATAGGCTTTGGTTTTGCAATTTACTTATTCATTACTTGCTTCAAATTGAGATTGTCTCTTGATAGTGTGGGATTAAGAGAGGATGCTGAACAATTTGCTGTAAGTAAAACACGGTGAAAAGGCAATGCAGTGGAAATCCCTGTGCAGGCAGGAATGTCATTAATTCATAAACACATATTTTTGTTTATCCAGGTAAACTTCAAAAAGGGAAAAAAACCACACATCTTTTATTATGTGTAGCTATGTGATATTCTACAACAAAATACTTAGTATTTACAACACTTTTTCAATAATCCTCAAACATGAAAATTAAAGAAGCATTTTTCATTTCTGTAAGAGTTAATTACACTTTCTAAATATTGCTTACAGCTTCCTGAGAAGGAAAATAACTTACACAGGTGTTTAGATGGCAATATCACAATATTGAGGATTGACACAGTACCCTGAAAAAACTTGAAAGTGTGTGAATATTCACATTAGCAACAGAAGAGGGCTGACATAATGTGATTTTATAATCAAGAACCTTCTTTGCTGGTTTTTATATCTTATGGTTCTCCAGAATCATCTGGGGTTTGGGATCTTTGCTTTGCCTTACATTCCACTCAAGAGGGCCAGACATAAACATTCCTAGACCATGCCTAACTTTCCCCTCTTGCCTTAAGTACTATACTTCAGTCTAAAATCCACTGAAGTCCTTTATTTTTCAAAGATTTGCTGTCTGCTTCTCATTACATTATTTTTGATGTGATTTACTTACCACCTCTAAATTCTGCATATTTTCTACTCAAGAAACTGAAAGTATAATGACCAACAAATGCAGACAGTTGGTCAAATGCTGCTTCAAGGGGAAGACTTGTATACATGGTGGAAGATGTAATTATTAGGATTTCAATTCTCTACTCTGTCAACATTATTGTGCTGGAAGCAGTAAGTTATTCCCATTCACATGACAGATCACAGCAGCATTTGTATATTTCATGTTCATTTTGCATTAGAAAATCTATTGGCTTGTTATGGTATGCTTTAATTAGTATAAAATAATGGGCAATGAAGAGGTATTATACTTCTTCATGCATTTGGCTTTATGATTTTTCACTACCTGTCTTAGTTTAGTAGACAAAAAAAATCATAATTTGGATATTTATTTTGAAGAACACTACATTAATCTAGACACTAAAAGAATTTACAACACTATATTATAAAAATATAAGAAATCTAATTTCTCATATTCCTTAAAAATCAGTCTCTTCTATGAAACAGAGCATATCTTAATGAAAAAGATATTGATGATAAAGATATTTCCTTCACTTTGCAATTGAAATAATGTGCAATAATTTTTCAACAAGTTTTAAAATATTTATGCATTCTTATCCTCAATGTCTTAACATCTTTAAAAAGCTAGATCTGAAGTTCTTTTGAGGATCTGCATAATTTCAAGAAATATAACTTTTTTAATTTCCCACTGCGCCAAGTAATCAGAAAGCCACTGGTTTCCTTAGTATTTGAAATAAACAAAATAAACAGACATTACCTGCTCCTCTGGTATGGTTAAAATCACCTTTAATAACTTTGCATGACTTTCCATTACCATTGCATATACCACAATGATCTTCACGAGCTAGAGATCCTAATATACCATCACAGCCAAATTTCTGTGGGAGAAGAAAATAAAGGCTATTGAGACACAGGCCACATTTTTCATAAAGTTGCTGTTAGTATCAGGTACCTCACCCATCTGCAAGACGCCTAGCCAGCATGACCCAGCCCTGCTGAGAATGAGGATTGCACTAGCTCAGGGCAAAGATCTATCCCATAGAGAAGTCCCCTGTGACTTTACGTAGTTTGCTGCATTCACTCTTCCTATGTAGTTGGCTAACTCTACCAGCTGCTCTCCAAGAGAAACACAACATTCCCATCTCCTGGTGGGACCTGTGGCACATCAGGTCCACTGTGCAACACACACCCCACAGGCTTTCCCACTAAGAGAATGCAATGTGCCTCTCCTGCTTTCTACTCTAAGTATGGATGGTCCTTTACTATGCCCACAATGGTAATGTGTTAATGTCAGCCCAAGGACTTATTCTGAATAGGGCATAAACAGGTCTAAAATATGTAAATATAAATTATATCTGTGTTTTGCTAAGAAGCATTCAGTTTAAAACAAATGAAGTTTACTCAAGCATCTCTACATTGTTGTTAGACACATTTTTATGAATTAATATCAGGGGTAGCTTGACAACAGCAATAAGGTTACTATATGCTGGCCTGATATGAAATAAAATCTTTTAAAGTCTTAACATATATGTGTGCTTGGCATGTCCTGTATATCCAGGTTCAAAACAAGTAATTCATACCTGGCATCTACCATCAGCACAGACATCTAGCCCATGCTGGCCACAGGAAGTCCCATCCATCACCTTTTCTGTCAGAAGAACAGGTTGATCCTTTCCAGACGGCGAACAGAATAAAGCACACGGCTTTTCTGTAGCAGCAATGGATGGAAAAACACACATTATTGGAAAAAGAGAACTTTCAAAACATGGAATTATCATCAACACTATTGCTAAAACTGATACTTGTGTATGTGTGGCATGTATCTACACTAGCATAAGAAGTTATCACACAGGGAAAACAAAAAATATTTTGATCAATTTCTTAGCTGTTTGTTAAGTTTCAGGTTTTTTCTTCCTACAGCATGCTGTTGCTATAAACTTGGCCTACACAGTACTCATGTCATGCTCATTGTTGCAATTAAGTGTATACACATTACAGCTGTTGGAATATTTTGGTAGTAATCTATACTTTCATTCTCCTGTATTTTTGGCAGATCATAAATATTGGTTAAAAAAGAAACTTAACACTTTCCATACTTCCTAACTGTTCAGGTCAAGGAGAAAAAAATGAAGTAATTGGCACACCCTGGGAAGAAAAAATATATGAATTTATAATGTTCACATTAAAAAAAAACAACAAAACCATGGAACACTTTTCCACAAAAAGTGGAAACAGTGTTCCTAACATTTTTACAAAGTTTAAACAATTTTCTACTAATTTGTAAAACATTCTGTAAATCATTTCTAATCATGAAAGAGCATAAAAATGTAGTAATATCCTATGTATCCACGTATTCCTAATGGCCACATTTATAAAAAAAGAAGTCTATTTCACCAGTGTGAAAGTAACAGGGAATAAAAGAAACAAAGTCTCTTCTCAGTGGTCAACTAAATACAAAATGACAGGACTTTTTCATATCTCTGTTCGCAAATGTACTGACTCAGAACTTCTTCCTAAATCTGTTGCAGATTTTTAAAAGGATAGAAGTCAATCCTGAACCTGAAACTGATTTCACTTGGACACAATCTATGCCACTCTGACTTCATACTGACTTCTAGATTCCTGGAGTGCATTTTTATTAGTAAATTAAACAGTTCCAGGAAACATTCAGGGGCACTGGAATTCTACTGTCTATACAGCTGAACTGTAAAGCAGTCTATGCCACATTTTTTTGCATGTGCTAACTAGCACCAGCTCAGTCTAGACTGGAAATTGCCATCTGTAAAGGACTGTTTTCAAAAAAGTAGTTTTAGCATGCAAAGGAGTAGAAAAGTACAGACAGAGGAGTTTTGTGCCAGCTGACTTACACAACAGAGGTCTAGGCACATTTATATTACTGAAATTGACAGAGCCTCAGGGTATCACTAGAGGACCGGTAGAAACAGATGTGATGTCTACTGCCAACATGTGAAGCTAGTCAGACACAAGCCATCTCCAGCTAAAAAGCTGCCTGAGTTTGTGCCCTCTGCATTCCAGTTATACTCTTTAAATAGTAACCTCAAAGCTCCCTGGGGGCTTTAAGCATGTATCAGCATTTTTTAAAGGAATACACAATTGATGACCTAAACATCATTTTAAAGACACTCAACTCAAAGAGGCAGCAACTAAACAACACCAGACAGCTTCAGTAGAGAGCAGGAGATCTCATACAGCAACTATTTTGGACATGGTGCAGAGTTAGTGTTCACTAAGAGAGCAAACAATTCAGGATTTGAGAATAATGTATACTGGGATAGTGGCATTCTCTGGCTGGTCCACTTTTGTTTCTCCTGGGGGACACCTCAAGACAACAGGATCACTCAGAACAAAGTCAGATGAAAGCAACCATCTGTACTCATTAACGTGGCACAGGAGAGCATCAAGTTTTTTTCATCTGAATGAAATAACATTATTCAAAGCCAGACTAAAACATTTAGATCCTTTAAGATATAAATCACGTCTTCCTGTGCTAAAATGAAATTTAGTAAAACAAAACAAAACTAATTGACTTGATAAGAACCTATGTAATAGTTGGAGAGAGTTCTCTTTACAATGAAATGAGCTAACATACAAGCCTAATGAAAATAGTTTTACATGAAACAAGTTTTCCCTTTATCACCTTGAGAAAAGGCTTAGAAGAAAAGAAATCCACCTTCTTGACTTAGGCATATATTAGGCATAATATGTGGATAGAAAAACAGTCTTCTATGCTTTCTAATGTTTTCTGATAAATTGATCCAGGGGTAAAACTAATTCACATAAGGAGCATCTTAAAATTTGGTAACATGCACTTACAGTATTCCTGTGTCATTCTAGGGTTTTCTTTATTATGGCTTGCTAGGATTTTGTGAAATTCTCAAGTTAATAGTTTTCATTACTGATGTGTTTTTGTTGTGCTTTTCCTTTGTTTGTTTTTAATTTAAGTAAATTAAAAGACAAAAATTTACAGAAAATTGAGTGGGGTGGAAATTACTGTTCACTTTTCTAGCACGAAGGAATTTATTTTCTAGTCACTGATGTTTCACACCAACATTACTGTTGCAGATAATATAAGTCTGATCTTACTGTACTCTCACTTGAGCGTTTTCCTAATGATATGGTATGTAAGCAAGTTTGTTGCATGGAAGCATGCATACAGTATGCCAGGACTTTGCATGGAAGTTATTAGGATTTATAGAAATTTTACTGAAGTTTACAGCATACATTATCTACACATTGTTGCCAAATCTGTGATATGTGAAATACTCACAATGTTAAGCTATAAGTTATCTCCTTCCTCAAAAACAAAGGCTCATAACATCTGCATTGTCTTTTTGGCTTTGTAGGTAAAAAATATAACAGATACATGTTTAATGATGGAGCATTACACTAGAAAGCTGTATTTCTGAGTCGCTTCATACTACAATTCTGATTATAAAAGTAAAAGCTGACTGGATTTTCATTCAAATGTAGCTATTACCTATTAAGAAGGACAAATAGGACAAACTCATTAGGAATAAAGGAAAAAATATTCTAGAGCATACAAAAGTACCACTAGCTCTTATCTATGAAATTCAAATAACTTACCAAAAATACTGGGCTTGAGGTTTGTTTGTTTGCTTTAATTTTAACTATATCTTTCTTGATTAACAACGTCAACAAGCTATAAGCCATATAAGCAGATTATAAGAACAAGAGAAATAGTTTATACTTACCATCATCAATGACAGCTTGCCATTGGTGCACATGCTTCTGATATGAAGATCTGACACTGAAAGCTTGGCACTGCCAGTCCCTAAAGGCAGGCACACCAGCAGGACAAGAAGGATTTTCACATACCCTATACTGCATTGTGGGCCCATGACACTCTCCTTCAAGGCCTGAACTAGAAAAGACGTCATAAATACAACCCTTTACTGTTGGCAACATTTTGTCAAACTTATAGTTTACTTTTGCTAGACACAAATTAACAATTGCAGTTGATACTTAGCATTCAGCCCATTAAAAATTGAAGTCACAGAATGAAACATTCTTGCCTTCTCTTTGTACTGGTTACATTACATATAAGGAATGAGAATTGCTAAAACGTAATTTACACTTAGCCCCAAGAAAGCACTTGTACTAGTAGGAGTTCAGTCAGGAAAACCTCAGGTGCAGTTTTGATATGATAAGATTATTTTTCTCTATCTGGGCTGAACCAAAGGGGCTATTGAAAGGAAGCAACACCTGCAGATTTTCTACCTCTCCTTTTTCTATACGTGTGGTATTACAAGATTCAGAAAAATGCTTTGTTCCTTTTCAGTCACACCAGCTCTGCTTGCAGGTTCTCATGAACAAATGCAAAAGAAGAGAGAACTGCAGAAACTGTAGCCAGTTTGGAACCTTGCCTGGAAAGACGAATTAATGAGCGTGAAATTAAGACACCCATAAATTCTATCTAGAAATAAATAATTTCACCCACAGCTGAAAGTGGTGTTTAGATGGCATGAACTATGAAAGAATTCTGCATATCAAAATTCATGTTAAACCTCCATGCTTTTGTATAGCCATATCCAACTTTTCCTCAAAATACCTTATACAAATTTAGATAGAGAAATAGAGAAATTTATCTGTTTTAAACCCCCTGTCTATTTTACCCCAAAATCTGCTATACAGTCTTCCATAATTATTAATCTCCCCTTTGTATTATTATTATTTTTTAAATCATTGACTCAACTCTTACACACCATGGTTTAGTTTTCTCTATACTTGCCTTTATTATTTTACTCTGTTCCCACTCATATGACTATATTTTCTTTTATTTTTTCACTTGGTGTATAAACAGCCCACAAAAATCAAATTGGCACTGAGTAATTAAAAGGAAAACACCTTTTACCTGGTCACTGAGATACAGTGAAACAAACTTCATTCAAGTCAAAAGTAAAAATCCCTTTATCCCCAAAGGCAAAAGGTTTTAATTTTCACAAGATAGGGAATCTAAATTCTGTTTCCAGATAGTCTATTTAAATGTCTGAGAAACTGGTAGACAGATCTCTTTGTAAAACTTTCAGTTCCTTGGTTCTCCAGATGACACACAGAAGTCAATATCCTCTAGTTAAAATATCTAAAGACTAGAATTACACACTGACAATCTGCATACCAGAAATTGTGAATTTAAGTTTCTGTTGCTTCTTCATGTGAATCTTAAGAAGGAAGTTTTATTCTTCTATTAATTTTATCCAGGGTCTTGACAGAAGTAGAAAAGATGAAAAATAGTGTTGCCATGCAGTAAAATACCTGAAATACCTATTCTTCTAAGTGTTTTTCAGTATTCATAAAGTATTAATTGCTCAGGTAAAGACCTGTATCTTCACAGTTTCCTGTACTCATATAAATTTTGTTCAGAAATTATGATGAGTAGCAATGAAAACCTGAACTCGTTTTTACCCAGGGCATTTGCGCTGTCGACTGCTGATTCCAGTGTTGCAAGTACGGCTACAAGTGCTCCATGCACTCCACTCCCCCTCCATGTGCTCCGCGAAAGAGGTCCGATTGATACAATCTCCAGCCTTGCACCACTAGGTGAAAATTCAGCTCTTAGGTAAATAAATTAAGGCATATGCAAAACAGTTCACTTCTCCACTAGCACACAGGAAGCACAAGATAAACATTTGGTTCAATACACAGTTTTTATGTCAGTCAGGTATATTTTTGCCTAGCACTCTCCGAAGCTTTTTCATCTGTCCTAGTAAATTCAACAGCCAGAGGTCTTTCTCTGTTTCAGTGGCCAAGGAGGAGGTTCAATTCTTGTCCACAACCTCAAAAGTAAGCTCCTTTCCAAGGAAGGATACCTCCTAGAAATGGTATCCATACTATACTGTCTCCCTTAATTTTAGATTGGGCACTGCCTAAGAAAGCATTTTAGGGTCCAGCCCAAACCTGGCTGGTTTGGATCCTATTGCAGGGATCATTGTCCAGCTTAACTGTACCAATAATCATAGGATAGTGTCCAGGGCTGTTCTCAGGACTTGCTTGCTTCAGCATGACAGTTCCCACCAGCAGGAACTTCATTGTCCCTCATTATCAGTGACAATTTCAATAGAAAGATATATTACAAGTAATAGAGAAAATTTTTTTCACCATTTGTATTCAAAGATAAAATGGAAGCTTCAAACAACTGGTGTTGAGAAAGTCCAGAGAATTTCTGGCATTTATTAAAATAGTAATAACAAATTCAATGATCTTGCATGCATGTATCATTTCCCAGGAAAACTGCAATTTCTCACTCAAAAACTATCTGACCACTGTTATTATGCTTTATAAGCTATGTCCATATCTTGTTCAAGTCATCATAAACTCTGCAGAAAATAGTGATTTATTGAATTATACTAACTTAATATCTCTCCCATGTATTAGGAAGCAGAGGTATTTTCTAGCCAATCTAGTAACAATTTTATGAATCAATGATTCAGAAATTACAAAGCAGACAATGATCACTTAATGCCATTAACATCAGTAGCTTAACTAATTTATTTTTACATTTTTAACTGTTGGTAAATCACTGTTATCAATGGATAACAGACTTCACAAACAGGTCTTGTATTTATAGCAAAACAAAAGGTGTCACTAATGCAGTCAATAAAGACTTCTGTTTCTTTTAGAACACACTTCTGTAGCTTTCAGTGTCTGTGCTAAATCCTTATCTGGTAACCTTTTCACCTACTGTCTGAAACTAGTCCTTACTGATCAACTGATCTTCATTTTCTCTCTCAAAAAATTACATTACAATGAAAGCATAATTATTCCACCTTTAAGAAGTCTTCATGTAGGGTGGTTCTATCTTTATATTAGATTTACAACCAGAAACTATAAATTTTGTAATGCTCTTGAATGTTTCAAACCAGAAATGCTCATATACATTTAAAGTTATTGCTTCAGATAAAATACGGATTTTTCTATTGAGGTAGCATCTGCCCTCTGTGCAGTCTCAGGGATGTTTATAAATCATTCACTTAAACTCAACCAAGTAGTACAAGCTATGCAAATGACATTTCCACCACTTCCTAAGATCCTAGGAGGAGCACAAGGCAACAATACTTCATCTCCACAGTACCAATAAAAAAAACCCCGAAGCCAGTGATTTGTATAACCTAAACATCATCTTGGACAGATAATAAAGCAAACAAGAATAATTCTTTCTTAACCCCTGCAATGTTTTGGTGATGTCTGCTTAGTTTTTTACTGCTATACATAAATAAGTTATCTAAGCAGCCTGACTCAATGAGCCATTTTAATTACAATTAGTATGTCTGGGTAATTGTTGTAAGAAGCTCTGCTTTTGTATTCCATAGCATGGGTAGGCCAGTCTCAATGTGAAAAATGTGATCTCCAACAAAACACGTCCCTCACTTTCCAGATATTGGCTTCAGATAGTATCAACTACAAGCTTTATCAGAATTAAAATTTTGAAGCAATTGTAATTATTTTAGAGATATTAACAGAAATACAACCTGCTTTTCCTTTAGCATGTAAAATTACATTATCTGAACAATTTTATGTTAATTGATTGATTTGATTTTTCGAGAATGATGACAGTCTTGGTGAATGTAATATGACTCAAAGAGTAAATCCTGTACTCCTGTGGGAAACGGCTGTCTGCACAATATCTTCAAAATCCCAAGACACACATTTGCTCTTTTTCTGTTTTCTGTTTGAGGTTGTTTATATTAATTCACAAACATATACAAAGGTTACAAATCATTTTAACTGGAAAGCTCTTGAAGGACAATTTATGTAAGTCTGACTTGGGTGATCATTTAATTTGTCTGTGATGGCATACTTTTAATGGGATTTGTCACTCTTTTACATATAGTGACACTATAGGTATTTCTTGATAAAACTTATCCTGAAAAGTTTTAACAACAATTGGTATCAATTCCTTCAAAGAGACTATTTCTAAATCATAAATCATAGGTGAGAACTCTGTATCTTTGAAAGCTTAATTTTCTATTTACATTTGGAAGAGCAACAATTGCATTCTATTCATAAATATGATACAGAGTGAGAAAGAATTTAAAATAAAACAGTGTAAATATTAAAACATCTGTCTCTTTGTCTAACCTTTTAACTCACTGGTCTTAGGGAAACATTATTTTTTTCGTATCTATATTATAAAATGTATCATATATAGATAGATATAAATATAGCTATAGATTTAAATATTATATATATGTTCATAGTTTATTTTCCTTATAATTGAGGTAAGCAGGAACTTTGAAGAAGTACAAGGACCTATTCAGTTTGTTTCCTTAAATGTTAGATGTTCAGTATAATTGATATTGCTTTTCCACCAGAGGCATACCTTTCCAGTGTCACAGTCCGTTCCATCCATTGGTGGATCCAGTTTAGTTTTGCATTCCTTCTCACTTTCCACCTTACACCACAACCCAGTGCAAATGACATGCTGAAAATCAAACAAAGAGTAAACACAGAATCTATCTTGTGCAAAACTGCTTTCTGCATGCAGTCCACTAATGTCTAAATTCACCAGCTTGATGGTAATATGACAATGATACTTTTAAAGACACATAAAACATGCAAAAAAACCCAAATGGGCAGAATCTGCTTAGATTTCTTCTAATAGTGCTTCTCTAGGACTTCCAGATCCCTCTTGTTTGTGCTACCCCAACGATTGCTGCTGTCATGCTCTTCAACCATTCCTAATTGCTCTATAATTCATTTATTACTCTAGAAAAAAAATTCCAAAAGCCATCAAACCTGAACTTCACAAAGAAGACACAAAGTTACCTGACAAATCAAATATTTTTGCTGGAAAGAAGAGAAGAGAGATGACAGGGGTGCAAGGCAGTAAAGAATTTTAGAGATGGAAAGAAAAGCTGTCTGAAGTATCAGAACAAAAGAGTTTTTACTTTACTCAAAAGAAAGCCCAGCCTTGCAGAATGCTGGCTCACATTTCCCATATTTCCCTGGCAGCTTTCCCAATTTTTCCCTAAAAAGTCCTCCTTCTCCCATGGTTTTCTGTCAGAACTGCATTCTCCTTGCTCTCTGCTCCCCTTAACAATAAACAATAAAGTAAAGGGAGGTCACGTGGGGCTGAATTGTGGCCTGAGTATTACTGCATATGCAGAGTGATCCTCCACAATGTATAATGACCAAAGAGGGGCAAGAAGGATCAGGAGAGGGGGAGGCGTTGCAAGCAGGATAAAAGATAAAGAACAGCTGGGTTTTTTAAACCAGGGCTGCCAGAAGACCAGCTTTTTCTGAGTGAAATGATTTGTTATACTGGTACACCAAGTAAGAGTCTCTGTGCCTTTTATACTATGCATAAAAAACGTGTCATAAATCTTATGCGACCTTGAAAAAAGACTAAAAGCAGACGAAACATAACTCAACAAAAGATTGTGTCTGAACCAAGGAATAGGGCAGTTCCATTGGGAGTCTAACATGTAAAAATGTCTGTAACATCAGCTGTGAAAAGAAGAAATGGTCAAAGATTGCAGAAGTCTGAAGCATTGTACAGAAACAAGAGAGAGGATGGCAGCAGTCTGACTCACTCCTGATTCATCCTTTTTTTTGCTGAAGTTGAGGTAACGACACAACAACCAAAAAACACCTACAAAAGTTCTTTCCTGCTCCTTGGATAATTTTAGCAATCATTTTTCAAGTAACAAACTCTAATTTCTGTTCCTGTTCATTGTTTTTAAACAATGTAGATGATGGCAATAGTAGATGAGACAGAGTATGAGGTGTTCATGAAAAAGCGCTTCCATACCAAGTAGGAAATGAGAGACATACTGTTGGAGACATACTCCACAAAAATATGTTAATTTAATTATCTTAATTAATTATTTTTCATATATTTAAATCCTTATTTGTGAGTGAATACAATGGTGGAAAAGCCATCCAGATTTACCTAAGTTTTAAAAAAATACAGGCAGATTTTCTCTTGCATTATCAGATTTGTAAGTATACGATCCTTATTTTTCTTTTCCCTAAATATTTGGATTGTACACTTAATTTCACTTTTACATGATTGCAGAATGGCTTAAAACAAACAGTTTTTTACAAATCTAGAAACAATTCTTCAAAATATAGAGAGGCATTAAGTCAAATTTTTGGGTACCTAATCACAGAGATGTACTTGAACCGTGTATGATAACTAAAGAAAATCAAATCAAGGCCCTTTGTTTGCTCATGTGCATTTTATACATCAGCATGTTTCTACAAATGCTTGTATACCATCTCCCTATGAACCATGACCTAACCTCCCCAGCTAGAAACTACTTTAGGCTTTAAGTGAACTGTATTCTAAAAACATTTATTTAACCAACTACTAAAATAAGCACTCAATATTAGCAGACTTTAATATTCCCCAAACCCAGGAAAAATGAGGTCTGGAATTACTAAAATTGATGGTTAACTTATATGGGTTTTTTTCTGGGTTTTTAATTTCAGTCAAATCACAAATAGAATCTTCAGTTTAGACTGTTTATGTTGGCAAGGTATGAGATATGAAGATTACTGTCAGCACCTAAGTTTTGACATTTAAGGATTACTGTGTAAGGCCAGGGAAAGACCATAATACACATTATGGGTTTTTCATTAGCAGCCAGCAGTGAAGCAGATCCAGACTGATTTGAAAGCAAACAGAAATCTGGAGGCCAGTGTCAATTTTACAATCACTCCAAAATCAGGGCACAAATTTCTACACCAGGATTTTACTCCTCTGAAGAGAAACTTCAGTCAAAATAAGGATAGCTGAGTCAACATTCATAAAGATTATCTATGATAAGTATAGCTCAGCAGGCATCACAGCTTTCTAGATGAGACAAGGGAAGGAACAGACATTGGAGATTAATAACTTTTAATTGTGACATTAGACTATTCACAGTCTGTAAAACATTTTTTGCATGTACACTGAAAAACAAAATATTGCCAAGCACACACAAAGGACATTTTTTTTGAAAGAATGTGTTAGTTATGAGTTTTTAACAGCAAAAGCTTGTAAAACAAAACATGGAAGTCACAATGTATTACAGAGATCACTCCAGCTTTGGAGTTTTGTGGGGGTTTTGTGTCTATTTCTGTCTATTTCATTAAAATAATGAGACAGGTCTGTGGGAATCAGAAGGATACATTTTCAATCATGTAAGTATATGGAAAGGAAGTTCACTTGAGAGGAATGACCCGAGACTAAAAGGCAATTTTAGAACAGTACTTGTGCAAAGTCAGGATGGTTTAAAATGTGGTGGTTGAGATGAGGACAGATATTTCACTAGGAATATAATATTTCCATTACTTTTGTTCTTTTCATTGTGATATTTCCCTGAAATGCCTTAAAAATCACCATGAAATATAACCAGTCTCCCACTTTTTTGCAAAGATCACAGCTGTGTTATGACAAGGAACGGTTTTAGTGGAACTGACCAGATAGCATTCACATCCTGGACTTTAATCTTAAAAGCCAATATTTAATAGTTCAACAATTGCATTAAATTGTCAAGTTTTACAATCCTGTTTAATCATCAAGAACTACTTCTGGGTCATGATCTCACTATCTGTTATGTGAAACAATGTTAGGACCTAATTGATTCTTGCATGAGACATCATGGCCATAAAAGCAAACTTGGCTCTCTTACAAGGTAAGCATGGAGACACAGTATAAATCTTGAACCTGGAGATCCACTCATGCTTTTCTAGGGTCTAAAAATTTTGCCTAGGATATGAAAGAAGTCTTTGAAATAAAGATGAAAAGGAAAAAAATAAAGTCACCATTTATGGAAGGGGAGTGGGAGAACCTCACTTTGGAAAATACAGGAGTAGGATCTCAGTGGTTCCTTCAGTTCTTTGCTTCATTTATTAAAAAATGAAGAGGAATTCTTGATAGCAAGGCAATATAATTTGTATCAGTAGTATTTTTCAGAGGTTGCTATGTAATGTGACTGTAAAAGTGCAGTCCTAAAGTACTCCTCAGTAATAACAACTGTAGAAAATTACATATCTAGAAATGCATTATTGATTGTACCACTGATATTTGTACAATTAAGATTATTTTTTATCATTACTCAATTGTTTTCTTAGTTAAATAGCTGTTATATATGAAACACCACTGCTTAATGTAGAAGACTCTATAGAACTCTGTTCTTTAAATAATCTTCCAGTCTCAAAAGATGTAAGATTGTGACATAGTTCATAATTTATCTTTTACACAGTTTTACTGAAGTGCATGAGCTGTTCAGCAAGTAGAACATGTCCAAAACATCCTGGGCTATAAATTGTTGGATTTACTGACATTTAAATGAACCTTCGAGGAGTGTGTTTCTCTCATTTCCTGGCTTGCGGACAATAACTATAACCATAATAAACTTCCAGTTACTGGCAGAATAGGACAGACTATACAGAGATTAAAGGAAGCAGTCTGGATATCATGGAATATTCAGTGGTTACCTGTATTGTAATTGTAATTATTGTAATAAATTAATACTGTAACTAATGAAATACTGCAATCTCTTTAGAAAGATCTTCTTAATGTTGATTTCTCCAATGGCAGCCACAATAATTTGTACAATCAACACAGAGAAATTTGAGTCATCTTCACAGTAAGTGAAATGCAATTATTTGCAAAGTTAGATTCAACATATTTGTTACCTGTATCTAGCATATTTTTATTTCTGAAGAAGATGATAAAACTAGCTACTGAGTATCAGTGCTTCACAGTTAGACGATGTTGGTGTTGCATGGTGCATGTGCTAGAACTCATGAAAGATTTCTGGAAAGTTTGAATGGTTTGATTCTAACCGATTTCCAATGGTAACTTTTTTTTTCCCCCTTTCTTTTCATACATTGGAAAAAAACACGTAAAAGAAGAACAACTTTCTTATCGTCTGGACTTTGCTCTATCCATTGCTCTGAGTTTCCCCTTCACCATAGAAATGTTATTTCTATTATTTAGAAACTCTGTATCTAATTGGACTATCAGTAAACTTCCTTAACAGAAGAGATAAATTTAAGACCCACAGCAGGGAGCAAAAGAAGAAGGAGATCTGAATGTAGTGCCTAAGCTTGCTGTAAGTAGCTGTTCACGGTTTTGATTTTTTTTTGGTGGGAGGAAGTTGAGAGTGTAAATTTTGCTTCCAGATAGAACACGGAAGAAAACCAACAAGGTGACTTTACCGAGGTTGGGAAGGAAGCATTGGAAAAATCTTTGGAAAAACTTTTTCTTCCACCTCACTGCTGTAACCGTGTTTTCTCAATTTTGTCCTCAGTGTCTTTTATTAATTTTTAATACATCCAAAGTTCTTAAAATTCACTACAATAATGTCTTGGTTCAATATTTCATTATACAGTTTCCAGTTTAAGGTTACCAGTTTTGCAGAGGATTTTGGAAAAACTGCAGAAGGTTCTTCCCATTTCTCTCTTCTCAGAAACTGCTAAGAGCTAACTGCTCTCTTTTTCTAACTGCTAAGACCATAAGGTCATCAAGTAACACATTTTGCTTTATGATGAGAACTAAAATTAACTTGCAGTTTGTCAGGAAAAAAGAATAGTTGAAACAAACATAGGCCTTTCACCTTGCACCATTACTATATTCTTGCTTCACAGCATACCCACATTGTACCTGGATTTAAATTACAATGTTATCTTAATACTAATATTTAATAATATTAAATGGTATATTAATACTAATAATTAATATTACAGTAAAATTGTCAGAAATGTCTGTCGATTTTACTGTAAATATAAATATTTAATATAAATATAAAGCAATGATCCCATAGGTAGGAAAAAACAGACATATTTATTTAGCTGAAAATAAGTGATTTAAGTGAAATGTGTCCTCTTACATGCAGAATCTCAGAAGAGAGGAACAGAACTGAATATTCTAGAAATGGACAATCAGTTATATGTACCAAGATTGTAAGTGCACCTCCATACAAATAGTTGAACACTACCTTGATAATATTCACTGAATTTTATTTCCTAATATTTCTAAAATAATAATGTAAACTAAAGAAACTTCAGAGTTAGGATCTTGAAAGAAGAATATTCACTGCATCTATGAAAAAAACACAACACGCATAGGATAACTTAACTATCTGAATTTAAATATATGAATAAGAACAAAACACAAAAGTAATATGAAGGAGATTTTTCCAAACAAATCAAAAGCATATAAAGGTATTATGCAACAGAAAATATTGATGTTTGTCTCTTCAATTAGTTTTGAGAATCTGTAATTGTTAAAGAAGACCTATAAGAAATATTAAACACGCTATCATTTTCTTGCTCAAAATAGGCTTCTAGAGAATGAAAACCAGAAATTTATGTCCTTCAGTTGAAAGCAATGTACCAAAAAGCAAGAAATATAATAAATTCATTAAAAAATCACTTGGAATTAATAAAGAATATTAGTAAAATTGTGACATTGAGATTTACTGCTCATATCCAGAGTAAAAATGTTTTCAATAAGACAACTAATACAAAATCCATTAAACTGTGGCTTTTTTTTCCTTTTCTCTTCAACTATGCCACCCTCAGCATGCCTTACTCATACATATATTGCAATGTTCCCTTTGAGAATTTTAACTAAAGACTAGTTTAAGTGGACTGTCTCTGAAGAAACAGTACCATCTCCAAACTGAAAACAGGAAGAGAGCTGAAGAACTAATTGAGAAAGGTATTATATTTTCCTATTTAGTACTCCTAACTTTTTCAGGCTATCTTCCCACTGATTGTGATGAGATTTTATTTCACAGTTCCTCTAGTCCCTGCTCTATCAATCCATACTCCATGCTTTTTATATATCTGTATATTGTCTTCCCATTTTGTCTTGTTTAGTGTCCTAAGGGCATCCAGTATGTTTAGTCTCTCCTCTTGATGTTAAAAAAGGTTGACTTCTCTCAGTAAAAATCATTATTAAACTGCTTCTTCAATCAAATATCTACTAGTATTAGTTCATAAAATTATGAAGACATGTTCAATTTTTCTAACCTGTCTTTTTAAGCCTAATTAATATGCAGTGACACTGCTTTGCACTGGCATGAAGCAAGGTCAACAAAATGAGGTACTGGAACTCTTTATGTCATGGCACTGTACAGCTCTGCCTGGGCTCAGGGGTGTCTCCTGGGAGATGCAGAGAGCCCAGTTAACACCACTATTACTCCTCACAGTGTGTGCAGGCACAGCATAATCTTCTGGAGGTCAGAAATGGACATTCAGTACCCAAATCATAATAAAATGGAATCTAAATAATAAATTGTAAACATTCCACTTGTTGTAACAAGGTGTCATAAAACTATGACATATTCTGTTTATAAAGTACAAGGGATTTTCAGTGTTTCAGGATATGCAAAACCTAAAGCAAGATTTACAAGATAAACCAATGACTATGTGCATATTAATTTTTGGAAAGCAAGTGTAAAATTCTTACTTCAAAGTAAGATATTCTTTCTATCTCTCTATTTCCTTCTATATTCTCTTTCTATCAAACGCATGCATAAAAGCTACTCTCACACAAAAATTAGGTGGTAGAAGCATTTTGTGAAGTACAGACACAGCCTTACCTGCATTTCTTGGCAAAATGAAGCAGTTGGTCCAAAAAGAATCTGACACTGCTCATCTGCAGTGTATGTCATTCCTGGGAGTTTAGACGGAATAATCACAGAATTGAGGCTCTGAGGATTCGTCTGTACCAGACAGTTACTGGCCTTCGACCTGGTAACATGCAGAGATTCATATGCTGAGCAATCCGAGGGTCTGATTGCCATGCCAACTTGCATACAACATTCAAAAGATGTGGACAATTCCAATTTTTTTATTCATCAGCACTGGGCTGCTGTTCATGTTTAAACTGATATGGCCTGCTTGTTATAAGCTAATATGTTCTGCTATTGTACAATTGCAGAAAGACAATATAATTGTCCAGCCTTTCAGTAAAGTGCTGGACAATATTTTAGCATAAAACTTACTTAATGGATTAAGGTTTTGGTGGTCAAACATTTCAGTACACAGCATATTAATATATAGTAAACATAGTGACATACATAAAATGTCTGTATAAATATATAAAAGTATAATCATACACATTAAGACATGAAAATATAAAAAATCCATGTAATTGCTGAAACCACATTTTAATAAATCTAATATTAGATTATAGTGATTTATAATATTTTGAAGGATTTTCAAAACAAATCTCCTGCATTTTTTATTATTTCAGTACATCAATTGCATCTATATCTAAATGACATACAGTAGGAGTTCTTTCCTTGAATTACATACCTGAGAAATCTTTCCAGGTCTTCCCTGCTGCACTGAGACCATGAAACATCCCCAAGATTCTGTCCTTTAATCCATTCCCCAGACATGATATGGACACCATCTGCGCAGGATGGGTGGTCATTGTCGTGGTTTATCCCCATGCTGAATTTTGAAGTTATTAAAAATAAAAGAAAGTAAAACAAAATAACAGGTTGTTTTCAGAATTTTTATAAGTTAAAACTCTTGCAAAGGGCTGTAAATAGCTCATACATAATGCATGTAGGAAATTATGATTTTGATTATTTTTTCTATGGTATTTTCATAGCAGTGCATGAAAAAAACCATGTGTAGAGAACAATTTTAAAATTAAAGGTGGAAGTGGAGCTTCATTTATTTAATGAGAAATACTGCATTCTAATCAGTCTAATACACATTTTGGACAATGTTCTGAATTTTCAGAACTGCACAATTACTGCAAGTTTAATGAATGCAATTTCTCTTGTAAATGGGCAACATACTCTTATTTTTTTAAGATTAGTGAATATTTTGGCAGTGATTCTATCTTCATTTTATATGGAACAGATTGGTTGAAATTTTATAAAATAGTAAAATGAACACTACTTTAAAATGCAATTATTGTCTCTAAAGAAAAGAACACCTAAATGTGTTTTCAGTCTCTTTTTAAAAATAACACTGATAAATAAATACACTCAACTCTTTTTGGAGATCTACAAATGGGTATGAGACTACTCTTTACAGTATTGGATTTATAGTGCTGGAATTTTGCAGCATTACTCTGCCTGCAGAAAAGCAAAACTTCATATTTAGTAAAACTCTATGCTTTGTATTGATTCTTTCACTTACAGACTGCAAAGATGGAGGAAGTTTGTCTACAAAAACTGGAGTACATCATGATTCTTCTTATTTCACCGCCACACAGTGGCAAATGGTAAAAAAGGCCTATCTCCCAACACTTTTGCTCTCCACTCTATCCCAAAGCCCATTCACAACTAGACCAAATTATACTTAAATTTGCAACTAGCTTTACCTTATGTTTACTAATGAAATTAATGGAAATATCATGTTGGATTTATCTTGCCTATGGAAGTGCTCCATCTCTTACGCTGATGTGTACACCCCACAGTCTGGAGCACTGAACAGTGGCTTCTGCATAAAGTGGACAATTTTGCTATCTATAACTGCAGCAAGCAAATGTGTGTGACTCTCATCTTAGCCTCTGTCTTTTCCTCACCTGCCTGAATGGCACAAAACAACCACACAGAAGTGCCTCTACACTTGCCTTACATTCTTCTTGCATGTCTCACATGCAGAATTTGAGATATCTCTATCTCCAGTTATTTACACCCACAGGAGCTGCAGAGGAAGACCTGGGAAACCTAATGGTATTTAACCTAGTGGACTACATTTAGAAAACATTTTGCTCATAGCTCTTAGAGTTATATGCTTCCCTAGTGCATCCCATGTATGCAGAGTGGAATTAACACATTGATATGTTATTTAATTTCTTTTTTAAATGAAAATTTAAGATACAAAACCCCTGTAATTTCTAATTATGATTATTTCCCTTCACTCTGAAGAGCAATTCTTGAAGCCAGACTATATTCTGTAAAGTCAGCCAGAAAAATGTATGCTGAGCTGAACGATGATCTTGACTGTTTCAAAAAACAATCACACTAGCCACCATTGCATATATATATATATATATATATATATATCAGTGTACCTCCCCTTTTTCCAATCTACTACCACAGAAAGATTTTGTAAAGTTTACTAGCAAAAGAATTCTGTGGAAATATTGTAGTAGTTGAAAGCATGAAGTGCTTAAAACTGTTGTATTTAACTAACAGCTGTGTATATCAGCTACATTAAGCACTAATAAAAATCTAATTCTAAAATAATCTTTCAATACTTTAGCTGCCCATACTTTTGTAACACTTCTCTTATCCTGCTTTGACATTAACTGTAGTTCAAAATATCTGTACTAATCCAATGGAATTCATTCCTCAATTCTCTTCCACCTCCAAATTAAGTACCTGTAAAAAAATCCAGGAAACAGTAAACACAAGTATTGAATCCTTTGTCTACCTGAATGAATAGGTATTCAAAAATGCCAGTTCAAAAGGATGTATGTTAACATCAATTAATTAAATTACAAGACAATATCTGAGAAGTAAGCTAAAGAAGCAACAAAACCTCTCTTAAAGATTCTCAGCAATATTTTATTCAGTGAGTGCTTTTGATCTCTTCTGTAGAATGGTAATGGCTGCATATTTTTATCTGACCTAGTATCAATTACAAGACCACATAAAAGTCAATGTGCAGCAGAACTGACTTCTGATTTCATTCCTCACATCACATTATGTGTGGTGAAAGAAAGAGGCTGAACAGTCATTGCTACCTTCTTATTCAATACAAGAGTAAATACTGTAAGCATATATACCTTATTCTCCAATACCAATCAAAGAAATAACATTTTTCAGTGCTTGCAGCGGTGGTCATGATATTTTCTAGCCCCCCTTGCACAGGAAACATAACTACATCCTTTCAATGGTACAAAGGTACCAAAGAAACTGTGTCTGTGCAGGGTGCTGCTCTGTCTCTTCCTATGGAATGACTGTATTATGATAGCACACAGCACAGTGCCCCCTCTCCTCCCTCCCACAACTGTGATCATTTAACTTCAGTCAAGAGTAAAGCAACACTATGTGCATGTGGGAGGAAGACAAAGGAGATGGGAATTATAGGATAATTTTGTAATAGCCTGAAAAAACACAATTAACAAAGACGTCAGTGCTGTACTTTAACAAGTACAACTTCATGTCTATATATAGAAATAAATTATATTTTTAAGAAATGTTATTAATTCAGGGTTACATAAAAATGCTCTACCTATTATGGTTAAAGCCTATATAAAACAGATAAAATGTGCAAGTAGTAAGAATTCTATAGAATGCCTTCCCTAAATAAAATATTAGCAACATTTAAATTCACACTATGCAATTAAACTATATTTTAATAATCTCAGTCTTGAAGTATTTTGACAAAAAGACTTGATGCAATAAACTCCTCTAACAGTATAAGTCAAGTTCATTGAAATAATTATTTTTATCTAGAATGCCCTCTAAGACTTGTTTAAAAGAATTTTTTTTACATTTTTAGTGATACCATGTATAAAGTTGGAATCATTTTTGCTAAATCTTTAATATGCAAGTAGAAATAGTACAAAGAAACATCATTAAATTCTCTGTATTTGAAGGTAATCACTCAGCCCACTGAAAGCAGAAGAAAAACATTTGCTTAATATTTCAGTTAAAAAACATTTCTTTAACAGCTAACTACTGCTGCAATTATACGTATATAGCTGGAATCAAACAGACATCATCTCTCCTGTCACCTTAGGGAATGGCTTATATTCTGGCATTCAAAATGCATTCCCAGTGTCAACATACTGAACAAATACCAAGAACTAAAATTTAGCTTGACCTTCTTACTATAGTGGAATATTACAGAATCAAAGCTCTTTTAAGCCTTAAAGGATGATTCTCAGTCACTATTCTATATTTAAACAAGCTAAATCAGGTTATGCACACACCTTATTGAAATAATTAGGTCTTAATTGATATTTTATATTTCTTATCACCACAGGACATCAAAATTCTTTGATATGTGCTACTTTCATGAAAATATGCAGTTGCTCAGTGACCCCACATACTTCCAGGTAAAAGCTTTTTATTATTTATTCGTTATTTTGTTTGTGCTTTGTAAATAGTAGATGATGGTAGTCACCATCCTATCACACTTAAAATGTAAGTAGTGCATGAACAAGAATGATGTTATTAAACCAGAAACAGGAAAAGAAGGGACAAAGATTAAATAGTATCAAAAACTTAATGAAGGAGCAATTCATTAGGTTAGTTCAGATAGATGTGGAGAATGACTTTAGGCTTATCTATAAACAAAAACCAAGAGAATAAAAAAATTAAACGAGAACAACTACCAATCAGATTGTCACAGTCACTAACAGTGAGACAGATCAGGAAATAAGAAACAGATTAAGAAAAGCACAAGAGTAAGTGCTGGGTCAAAGAACAAGCACTAGAATGTTCAGTATAATAAACAGATTGCCAAATACTAAAGGATCCTTTTATTCCAAGTCATATCTAGAACAACAGAATGATGAGTGTGAATTGCAGACCAAGTATCATGCTACTCATATGAACTCAGGACAGACTGAAAATTACTAGAAAACTCTCCCCTTGTCAAGGAGAAAGTAAACCTCTGAATGCAGTTGCCAGTTTATATCTGTGATGTGTGATGGGATCAGGTTCCATTTGACTTGTTAAAAATTCATATTAATATAAGTGATTACTACACAGTATTCGTAAATTCACTGCAACTATTATCCTATATATTTTTCCATTTTGTCAAATATATCACTAACATAATAAATTCTATTGCCTTAAAAATAAAAATTACTTTAAAAAAGATTATTAATAAGGAAGTGTTATCTTCCTTATTATTTCCACTGGGCTTTTTCATCATTTTGTGCAATAGTAAGCTAGAATGATCAAAACTTTTTAAACTGTGGACCCAGAAATTATAAGGTTTAAAGGCTTATATGGTGTTTCATAGTACAGTGACTTTCACAACAACTTGTCTTATCTAAAATTTTTCAGTATCATGAGGATGTATTGATAAGTGAAAATAACACCCCTTTTGTGACTATCACAGAGAGACAGAAGCTATACTACATTCTTAGTACTTTTATTGCACTTTTCCAGTAAAATGTTTTATCACACTGTTATCTTTATAGAGAAAAACATATAAAAAGACCAGACTGGTAGCAGGATTTTATAAGCCATTATATGTTGGCTTTTTGTTTTCTTTTACAATCCCAGTTAGTGAAATATTAATTGTTGTATGATTTTTTATATGTCCTTTAAAATATATGAGGGCTTCACAGATCATTGAATAAATGGGATAAGACAAAATTCAACTTGTAAACGAATTATTTAGCTGAAAGTTAAAGGCAATTGACCAGCTACAGAAAAATTAAGAAGTTAAAACAAGATTTCTTTTGGAAAGAATTTATCTTCAAAGGAAAATCTACCAAACAAGGAAATCTCAATCTCCTTGTTAAAAATTAGATGATCAGAAAAAATAAAAATAAATAACTTTATGCACTTATTATTTCCCTACTGTGAATCATTACTCATTGTCCACAATGAATTTAGATTACATTTTCAGTCTTAAAACAACTGTGTAAAAGTACAACATGCATATTAGTATAGGGATATTAACATACACTGGACGCTGTTGTCCATCTGACTGCAGCTTTTGCTGAACAGCTGCTTTCTTCTCTGTAACTCCAATACTTCTACCACCAGGCTTCATGGTGCTGGATATAGACAAACTACTGAGCCACGGTTCTTTGACTGAAGTATATAAATAATTTAAAGTTTTGCTGTGACAGCTGTATTTAGCATCATAACATGAAAACCATAACATTGCCCCTTCCTGAAGGTTTTTTACAGAGATTAGATGATATAGGAAAAGTACTGGCTTGTGGTAAATATGTCACCCATGCCACATCCTTGACCTATCATAAACTTAGTAAAGAGCTATCAAAATATAGTTTCTGCATTAACAAAAAGCATTGACATTGTTATGATCTTTTGCCATTTTTTTCACAGATATTTTAAATGTATCAGACTCTCAATTAAGCCTTTGCATCCTGTAGGTTGTTTTTCAGTTACTAACTTGTACACATGATTTCTGAACCTGAGAGAATTTCAAGCTCTCAGGAGCTGATTGTTCCCAAGGGAAGGCCTTTGAGAACTGTCTTTCTCAAGGACTATTTCTGTAAATGAAGTTTTACTTTCCCAAAACAAGACACAGATGTTCTGAGAGTGTTTTCTCTCTTGTCCCACCAATGGGATGAGAGAGGTGTTCCTTCTACCAATCAGGGTGACCTGATCAGAACAACTTATAAAAAAGTTAACAAAACCCCAAAATAAAAGCTTCTTTGCCTCATGAAAAAACCTCTGTGGCTGTGCATAACTTATTGGAACGCTCGCTATACTTAGTGTCCTCTAACGACACTGTTTAGTTTACAAATGTTATCTTAAGGAAAATCTAACATAAATCCACCCTGGAAAAGTATAGCCTGGCAGAAACACAACTCTTAATACCTTGCCAGAGAAAGAGTTGACTAATCTAAATTTCTTTTAAAAATTCATATATTTTTAAGTTACTAAAATGCTGATGCAGGGCTTCTTCCCTGCCTCAGTGCTTCATTTCTTCCTGAGCTGCTTCTTCAGCTGTCCTCCTATCAGCAAAAGGTTGGTGATGCTTTATCTCTGCCTGGCATCACAGTGATGTGTTGTGAAAAACAAAGATCTTTCCATGATTAGAACTGGATCAGAAGAACTATTTATTTTTATCCATGGTTTTAAACACCAGAAACATTTTGAGTGCAAGTAAACAGAAATGCGAAGAATGCAACAGACTTCATTATTTTCCATCATCTTTAATCTTAAATGTATTTTGTTGTACAATTTTCAGGCCACTGAAGTCTGGAATGATACACCCACGTGCCCAGTAAGATCCTATGCTGACTCAAGTCAGCGTAAGTATACGACTGTGGAACAAAGATGTCTACTTTGATATGGAAGCAGGCAAGAAACAGACTATAAATTTTTAAAGAACTTACTCACTAAAGCATGAAAAATGAATGTAAGATATCTCAAGAACTTGCATGGTTGAGTATCTAATATCTATACTTTGAATTTCATTAAAGCAATAAAAAAAAAAAATAAATAGAAAGACTACTCAGTGTACTGCCAGTTTAACTACAATAGTTTAGAACAGTTACTTTATGAATATTTTTCCTGAGTTATGAGGAAAACAAAAAGACAGCGATGAAAATACTAGGGTGATTTTATATAAAGCATGTTTGAATTAGAGAATATGTAATGCTGAAATGCAAGACAAAGCAAAAGCCTCCTACTAATTTTCATGAAATAAATAAGTATCAAGGAAAAAGAAAAGCATATTACCTTCTTTCTTAAGATCAAATATTAAAAAGCAGTTTCTTATTAGACAAATACTATGCTTTATAGATAAATTTCCCTGTAAAGTTTCCATTTTGTTTTAAAAATAGGATAGGAAATGTCACAGATAGTAAAACAATACAAAAATGATATAAAAATAAGATAACCACAGAATCATAGAATGGCTTGAGTTGGAAAAGACATTAAAGGTCATCTAGTTCCAAACCCACTGCCTTGGACAGGGAACCATCCACTAGACCACGTTGTGTTCAGAATTCCACCCAACCTGGTCTTGATCAGCCCAACATGGGGAGTACACAACCTCTCTGGACAACCTGTTCAGTGCTTCACTACACTAACAGTAAAAAAATTTCTTCCTAATATCTAATCTAAACTTACTCTTGTTCAGTTTAATGCCATTTCCCCTTGTCCGTCACTACATGCCCTTGTAAAAGGCCCCTCCCCAGCTCTACTGCAGGTCTCCTTTAGGTACTGAAAGGTGCCATAGGCTCCCCCCAGAGCATCCTCTTCTCCAGGCATGTTTTATGTAGCTATGCACAAAAAGCAGGGAATTATAATAATTTTTGTGTAAATCTGTAATGACACAAATATGTGTATGGGAAAGATGATTGCCTGTATCTGTTTTGCATGTATTTTTAAAATCACTACAAAGTTCAGTTTCTCAAAGAGTAGCTGTACTTTTCAAACTGTTTTACTCAAAGTTAGGCTCTCATCTCTACATTTCAGTCAACTTTGATTTGAACAGAGAACTCAGTAATGACAAAAACCAGCCAAAACAGTCAAAGCTCAACATCTCTGATAGTACCTACAGATAGATTAATATCCATATCCATGTATCTTGGACTGAGAAACGCAGCTTTAGACCATTAGTCAAAAAGGACAGAAAAAATTAAGAAAGAAACAACTGGAGGGAAATGACAAACTCTGCAGTTGGAATAAAGCCACAATGACAAGAATTTCCCCTGCACCTTCTACCCAATACCCTAATAGCCTATGGAGTTATATGGGAGAGAGAAGGAAGCAAGGTTATTTGGGGAAAGCTTACCAGCACAGCCTTCACTGACACTGTGGGACCCTTCATAATCTAAGTGAGGATGCTGGGAAGCAGAAGCTCCAGGAGAACGGGACCCCAGAACAATATTATGGCCACTACTGAATAAAGCTTAATTATCAGTGGAATAATTATCCTAACATGTCATCCCAATACATGTCAATTTTTTGCTTTCTGATTTATTCTTAAAAAAAAAACCAAACAACAAAATCATCTTGCTTTCCAGAATGTAAAATAAATATCATCAAATAATTATTCAAGAGCAATACAATGTGCTGCAAGGCTAGAAGGTAACTAATGCACATGAGAAGAGAAAGCTCCTATGGAAGCAGGAAATTTCAGCAGTAGGATTTAAATAATGACTTGTTCATCCAAATTCTGTTTTCAGGAATGAAAAGTCTATTCTGTTAATACAGATACCACCAGTTACATTCCTAATACTGATACTTTTCAAACGCAAGCTAGTCTTGTCATGAGTTAGTAGGGATTACAAACTCTGTCTTTGTGATCTGTCCCAGAAAAGGAGAAGGCATATGGAAGGGCAGGAACTCTCATTGTTCATAAGAAATGATTCATAAGCTGCTGTCACTGACCAAATACACAAAGAGTTTTCTTCCTCTATTTTTTTCCAAATGAATCCCCCAGTCCCTCTCCTGGTGAAGGTAACCTTTGAAAAGTTCCTGGTAACAAGTAAGAAAGTCAAAATTCTAACTTAGTTTACTCCACAGATAAGTATTTAGGAAAGAGAAAAACAGTGCACTAACCTGTTAAACCTCACTACCCTTCTTTCTTAAGATAGAAAAGTTGCTAAAGTGTGAACAGAGGGTGGTTTATCTGCATATTCATTCAGTTATGAAGTAAGGTTTCATCCTTTGGTAAGGCAGTTGAACAACGAGGGAACAAAATAAATGCTAAACAAATACTCTGGACATCCAAGACCAACACATCAAAAGCTTTAATTTACTGATCCTCAAGAAAATTAAACTTACTGTCCACAGTTCCATCAGAAGCATCATGCTTCTTAAATTTTCATTATATTAAGTCAGTTCCATCAGAAGCATCATGCTTCTTAAATTTTCATTATATTAAGTGATTTTCATGTTATAAGGAGCTATTCTACCAAATCTAATTAATATCTTTTCTTTCCATGTGCTAATCTTGTTCCTCCTTGAAAACAAGTTCAGTTGTATTATTCTACTTTAACCTTTTAAAGATCCAAACAGCTCTTTTTTTCCCAAGATCCAAACAGCTCTTTTTTTCCCAGTTACTTTAATGATATTCCTTATTTCACATTACTAACCCATTTGCAAAAATTGGTAGACCCTTGCTTCTATAACTCTTATGCATTTTATTGTGTTCTGTGATCATACTTTGGACAGCAATAAGAAAAATGTGGGGAGTAACTCACTCTCCATTAGCATTTCCTTATCTTCCATTTAAAGCTCTTATCAAGTTCCACAGCATTTCATAAAACTTTTTAATATATTCACGAAGAATAAATGCTTTTTGCTTATAAACTACTAAATAGGTGATTTACAAATTCTACAGACTCCCTATTCAGCTCTATAAAATATGTGGTAGAATATCCTGAATTTTAGTAACACATTTCACAAAATGCTTGTCAGAAAAAGAATGCAGATGCATATAAAATTAATTCTGAAAAATTCCACCAGTCTCTCTTTTAAGTGTCTAAGACAACTTCTAAACTAATTTAGAGCACTCGATAATTGTTAATTAATGTATTTTGAGATGCAAAAAATTTATTTCCATTCTTTATTTCTCCATCTTTTAAAAGAAATCATAACCCACAGAGAGCCATCATTTAAGTAAAATCACATGTAGCTTTTTAACCTCAGTATCAGCAATTCTCACTCTTCTCTCTGTTCTTCACACGGAGATAATGCACTACTCTTGTTAGTTTTTACTTCGTAATGTGACCTCATTCTGCAATTACCTAACTGCTTAGTAAATGTATTTTAATAAATAGGATATGTTTAAGAAAACCAAATGTATTAATGTGATTCAATTTTCAATGACTGATGAAACAGTGCTCAAAAATCAACCGTTGACATACATTAATTCTCAGTGTCACTAAATATCACCTGCATTCAGATACACAAGGCTAGAAGACGTTTCATATTGCAAAGTAAGGTTTAGTCTGACATTGTATTTCATAGAGAATATTTCCCTTTTAATTGGAAAAAAAAAAAACCAACAACACAACACTTAATAAATATCCATGTATCAGAATGTATTCCGTATAAGGGTCTGTTCTCCCATGCAACATGGCCCCAAGCTGTGCCAGGGGAGGTTCAAGTTGGATATCAGGAGAAATTTCTTCAATGAAAGGAACATATCAGAACATTATATTCATCAGTACAATGACAACTGGTAATGTCTGTTTGCATATGCTTTCAGAAAACAAAAATCAACAGCACCTACATTGCATAAGTTTTGAATCTATTTGTACAGTAATTCAGGCAAGAATAATATTTGTTGTACAGAAGGGAAAAAAATTGTTTTTTCTTTATCCTTCAAGAAGCAAAGTCTTTGAGAAAGCTTTTGGTTCTATGCTGCTGAACAAGACTCTTCACAAGAGCAACTAGAATGGTTACAGATATCACACACAAAAAACCCCAAGGTAGTAGTTAAACAACCTCAAGATTCAAAAAGACTCAGTGAATTTTTTTTAGAAAAGATGATGTGTTGAAAGAACTATTTATGACTGATCTGTATGGTGACCATTTAATCTCTGCTTCTGAGGCAGTTAAGAATGAGCAAGACAAATCTATGTAAGAGATACTCTAGATACATTTGCACCTGCTCAAGTCCTTTCCAATAGGATCTACATTCAAATGTTTGTCTTCAAACGTTTTTATATTGTCTCTTCACAAAGGTTCAACTACTACTAAGGTCTTCTATGCAATTGCCAGGGCCTGACTGGCAAACTGAGACATGCAGAAAAAACAAATGTCTCTAAAATGTCACCTTACGCTCCTTGGTGCAAGACAACTCCATTTCAGATTGTGCAAGCTAAGGACTCTGAATCCATCATGAACCAGGGATCTTTGCCTCCATGCCTCTGCATCTTTTGCACTGGGGGATGGTTGGTTTTGTTATTTCATTGCTTGGTTGTTTTGGATTGGTTTTGGATTTTAGTGGGGTTTTTATTTGTTTTGAGGGTTTTTTTTTTTGGAGTTTGGTTGGGGTTTTTTTATTATTTTTGGGTGGTTTTTTTTGTTGTTGTTTGTGTGGGTTTTCTTTTTGACAGCTGCTCATATATCTCTGGCTACCTATTCCTTCATTTTTGTGGTAGTCCTATATACTATGTGGTTTGTTACAAGCCTTCCTTAGTTTGGATTTCTTGAAGAAATGTCTGGTTCAATCCAATCTTTTTACATTGACACAAGATTTGATTTATTCTTTATTTCCACTTCTAAAAAAAATATATTACATTACCCACAGAGAATTATGAGGATGTCTCTCAGGACATCCAAATGCCATTACTACTGTGAGAATGTGATGGTCAGGATACCATCATGGTTTGTTTTTCCAAGTTTATTTGAGTTAATGTGAAAGGATTTGAAACCTTGGAAATTTCATATGTAGTCTTGTAACTTCTTTTCCCCCAAGATTTATATATAAGCAATATAAGTTTCATATTCCTGTAGGAAGATCATGTAAATTCCTTTCTCTTCAAAAGTTCAACAGCAATGCAAAGCCATGAAGATATTCCAAGTTCACAAAAAAATGTAACACAGTTATAGAGCCTGACCTGTGCTGCAGTCTTGGAAGAACTGCTAGCAGCAACAGTGAGCTTCTCTGTCTACCTTGTTTCGTGTACTGCTTGGCATCTAGAAGACCTTAGGAAGTCAAAAATAGGTTTGATAGTCTGCTGCAAGACCAAAACCTTACCACTACCCCATGATAATAACCCAACCACATAAACTTTTTAAGATCAGTATCCCACATTGGCAAATCTGCTATTGCACAACCAACACACCACCCATAACTTTGCAAGAATTTTACATATCACCATTTTTCAGGCAGCATAAGATGTTATATTTCTTGTTGATTAAGATGTCTCTTTTTTCAAATACAGTAATTTTGCAGCAGAGGCTTCTATTCTCTAAAAATACTTTCACTGTGTTGGGCATAAAGTAGTACTTATATCTGTTACTATCATATCTGTCTCAAACAATTTTGTAATTTACCAGTGAATTTATGTGCAGATCACATTCAGTGATTGTTTCTTTCCCCTTATACTTGGTTTACTCTCATAGGAATAAGTCTACAGGAAATAATTCATCCTCTACCCATTCCCTCTTCCAATACCAGAAAAAACTACAGCAAAAAATAAAAATAGAATGATATGTAGCTACAAAACAGAAATTCCTTCTTACATCTTTCCTTTATCACAACCATCATGCAAGCAGGCTGGCTCATATTAACCTGGAGTTTTTTTCTGCAGTTACGAAATGGCAAAAAATAAAGAACAAACAGAAAAGATCAATTTCATGCAGCAACTTATACTTGTGTCAATCTTTATATAATTGCTCTGTATTTGCTTATTTTGTATCCAGAAAAAAAAATCAATACAAGTCTTTTAATTTCCTGCTTTTTTTTGCAAATTAACTCATGTTTCAATACTAGATGCTGGGATCTCCATTCTCAGAAAGCTCTGACCAAATTTAAACCAAGCCACTTTTAATTAAAAGTGCTTCTCCTAAGATACCTAACCGCATATTTAGCAAAACATCTCTCTCTGTTGTCACTCTGAAACTAACATTATAATTCAAGTACACAAATACCTGGCACAGACACTGCAGAAAAAAATGACACAGTAATACATACCTGTATTTTATTTCAGTTAAAAATAAGACTCCTTTATTTCTTTTTCTTTATAAGTAGTAAAGCCAAGAATGAAGTTCAACTCTTATTAACAGACTTTATTATTGCACAATAAGAATTTTTCACTTTGGGTTAAAATATTTGACACTGAGTAAGCAAAAACATCCAGCCCAATTGTGAAGGACAGTTACCTTCATCTTCATTTCACTATCCTTTTCTTCTTCTAAGATGAAAACCAGTATTAATGTGGCAATGACCAATGACTATTCTACACTTTCATGGAATCTATCCTGAGAAAGCCAAATTAAATAAGGGCTCTTCCAACTTATGATCTCATTAAAATGTTTGTTGGCAACAAATATTAGAGTTGGATCTGTTACACAATACCACAGTCAGCAAAGAAAAAACATCTTGGGGCACCTGTTTTTCCCTAGACAATGGCAGTCTTTCCAGTTAATCCATTTATTTTGTAGCTATAAAGACTTTTTGTATTATTTCAAGTCATAAACATTTTGTTAAGCTACATACCATATATCAATACATGTTGTTACTATTATTATTATTGTTATTATTGTTATTATGAGAAACAGTATTTTCTGAATTTTTCATTTAATTTAAATCCCTACCTTATAGAAAGGAAAAACTGAAGTATACAATCAAATTAGTCAAATCATAGTAGTATTACATGCAAATGAATACTAGGTTTTAATATCCACATACTTACTTGTGACCCATTTCATGAGCAATTGTAAAAGCCAGATTCAGACCATTGTCCTCTGCAATTATACATTTTCGTTTCTCACTGCACATTCCACTCAGGTATGCTATACCTAGGAAACAAAACCATCACATTCAATTATTTTTTGCTATTACTAATTTTATATATGACAGCATAATTAGACCCAAACAAGACAGAAATCTTGTTGTGGTCAGAGCCACCCAAGCATATAAACAGATATCTGACAAATGTTTACTTACTCAATTTGCAACCAGTGGTAGTATTACCTCACAGTAGTGATTACATGGACTACAATGCACAGGAAATGCATTCTTTAAAAGCATTGCTTGGTACCTTAATGAGATGTGATAAAACACATATATGACTGTCAGTACTGCTGTAAAGGAAAATAAATGTCTACAACAGGGCACAAGTTTCAACAGGTATTTCCTCTGACAGGCTTAGAATAGAGTGCAAAGCACAGAGTAGTACCTCTACATTTATCACTACTAAGTACTCATAAAGCATTCAGCATGTTAAAGGTTTTAAAAATGTTTAGAGGAGTCAGATGTCCTGGAATAGTTCATAGGAGACTGCAGCCTGTCAAACATATTTACTGTAGAGGCTATAATGCTTTTACTGCATAATACCTTAGTTTTCAAAAAACCTGATGAAGCCTTAAATAGTAGGGGTTTGAGTTCAAATTCAGCTTTTTAAAAGTAGAGTGTCTGTAACTGTAAAAACTTAAGGAATGTGAAGCTTAATTTGGGCAATGGTAAATTTTTCAGACCACGAACACATTTAGCAGGGACAATTGTCGTCGCTCGTCATTTGAAAATTTGGAGTAAGCAATCAAAACACCGTTTCAAGTCTTTGGCCTTCGTCCCAGGAACTTCCTTTCAATGGAATGGTGCCCTCCGGTTCAGCATGTTTCCTGGATATTTGCATGTAAAGGTCAAGTTTGAAATGTTTGACAGTATTTGAAATTTAGTCATAATTATCATTCCAAGTTAATAAGATAAGTAATTTTTCTTACAGTCCAAGTATCTGTCAGTCTGTGAGTAGAACGCTTCATCCACAAGTAGTAGTAACCCCATCACTATTCTGCCAACTTTTGAGTGTTCCCCTCAAAAGAACTGGCTGAATGCTTTCGGACACTGAACTCTTGACAAAAAATGTTGTCCAGAACTGAACAAAATAACAAAAAATTAAATTTGAATAAGGCAGAGTATTTCAACTTTTACTATTTGTTTCCAAAACAGGGAATAGCCATCTGGGAAACAAAAGAAAAAGCAAAATCAGGTCTAGACAAAATAAACCCAGTCCTTTGAATGAGAAATAATGCTAAATGTAGGTATCACTTATGTTTATGTGAATAAAAATCATAGAGGAAATGCTCTGTAATGTAATGTTTTATTTCAAAAATGTAATGCTACAATGGCTGAAATAAAATCAGGAACATTTCTAAAATCATTTTGTGCCTTGTAGTTCCACAATTATATGCATCTTCTTTTAAGATTTGAGAATGAAACTGAGAAAGATAGAAAGGTTTTCAATGCTGGAGCTTGAAGAAATACAGCTGGTAACAGTACCAGAAGAAGCAAATACCAGTGTCCTGACTTCAGCTATCATCAGTGAACTTAATAATTGGTTCAACAAAACAGAAAAATCACTCTTGCCACAGATAAAACCCATTACTATATTTTGAAGTGCTGAGAGTGATAATTTGTTATAATGCAAAACATTCAGAAATACTTTTCTTGCTGTGCTGGCTCTGGCTGTGATGGAGTTAATTGCCCTCACAGTAGCTGGTAAGGAACTATGTTTGGGGTATGTGTGTATGGCATTTAGGGAAAAAAGTACAAAACACCCACAGAAGTGATTTCTCTGAGAGAGGCTGCTGGGAGTTTCTTCTCTGCTTGAGATCAGGCCAATAGCTGGCCAGTTCTGAGAACTGACAGCATTTGGCACCACTGAAAAGCAGTATCACTTTTGTGAACACCACCTTTTAAAAACCCAAACCCGTGAACTTTGTTCTTTTTCTTTCCAGCCTTGAAAGGTATCAGAGCTCTGGTGTGGCTGGCCCTGCTCCCCCATGGCCTGTAGGGGCGGATGGGCCAGCCAGTGGTAGCGGCTCCCTGGTGGGGGCTGTGCTGCAGCACTGCCTTCTCCTGGGAAACCCTCCGGGTCCCATCCCAGCAGGGTGGCCAAAGCCCTTCCCAGGGGGGCCCCAGCCCTAGGCTGGGCCAGGCCACCGCTGCTGACCTCTCGTCGATACTGTCCCCGCTCCCATGGCCTGCACAGATGGCTCCAGGCCAAGGACCATCTACTCTCTCCCAGTGGCTGCCAGCTGAAATCAGAGACCATGAATATCTGCTGTGGCTTGGGCCAGATTTAACCCTTTCACTACACAGATGAGACCTGCAGACTTCAACCTTCTCTCCAAGGAGACAAAAGGATGTGAGTGATCAACATGTAAGGAAGCAACATGAAACATCAAGGTCAGTAAAAGAAAGAGTCATGCCTCAGATAGAAGGAGAATGAGGAGATGCTCTAATAAGCCGAAATATTATTTTGGCAGGGCCATAGAAATGGACAATAATGCTCTGAAAAATAGCTCATTTAATTCATGAAAAAAGTACTGGGGGAATGAAGCTGTAGATCTGAGCAAAGGTATCCACTGATGAAGCCAAGCAGATGTTGGAGTAGCTGTGATCCCATGAGATGCTTGAACAGAGAGAGAGATGAGAGCTGATGAAGACCCTTTGCCCCCAGGGAGAGAAGAAGAAAACCTCCGTTCTCAGAGATGATCACAGAGACAGATGGAGAGAACTTTTGCCTTTGAATAACTCATCCTTAAGATAATACCCCATGAGTTCATGGCCCATGAACACACCTCTGAGTGGTGTAAAAATGGGAGGAAAACATGATGGCAGAGTTTGTGCCCGGGCTACCGCCATTTGTAGAAATTAAAAGCCATGAGAGAACTGTTTCTTTTGGAGAAGTCTCCATAGCAATATAAGAGAAAACTCCTCTCCCTACATAGACTGTTGAAAAAGCTATTTTATAGTTGGTACTGCTTTATCATCCCACCTTTTGTTTCTATGTTGTCAGTTGAGAAAGGAAAAAGTTTGGGTGGGGGGAGAAAAGGTTTCTGGAAGTTTTATTCTAGTTTCTTAGTCTTGTAGTCCTGTTAATAAAATTTCTTTATTTCTTTTAAGTTTTAAGCCTGTGTCGCCCCTCTCGTAATCCATATCTCACATCAAAAAATAAGTAAGTACCCTGGTGATTTTAGCTAGTCCTAAAAACCATCACAGTGTGAAACAGCGAGGGTAACATGGGGAAGTGCCACTTGTTGGTGAGCAGTGGTTGCACAGATTCAAGGCCTCTACTCCTCCTGGCACCACCTCACCATCAAGAAAGCTGGGGCTGGGCTTAACACTGGCAGAGGAACAGCCAGTAGAAATGACCACAGCTGAACAGGACACCCTGCATCCTGTAGCCTGTGCTCTCCCTAGCAAGAAGACTAGAGAGGATGCTGCCAGGTGGCTGATGCTCAGGAACTGGCCAGGCTTTGGCTGGTTGGTGGTGAACAATTGTTTTCAGCAGCATCATTTCTCTTACTTGGCTTTTATTTCTCTCTGGTTTTTTTCCTTTTCATTATTAATATTATTGCTATTTCTGGGGTTTTTTTTATTTCAGTTAGGAAACTACTTTATCTGAATCCATTGCTTTTCTCACTCTAATCCTTGCAATTCTCTCCTCCCATTTCACTGTGTGAGGAGAGAGCAAGCAGCTGTGTGATGTTTAGTTGCCATCTGGAGCTCAGTCATGACACTGTTGATGGCTGTTCTCAGTTGGATAAAACTTACTTGCTGGGATCATCAGTTTCCAAACCTCTCTCTTCCTGACGATGCTCGTTACTTTAAACTGTATGATAATCTCTAATTTATGTATGATAATCTCAAGGGACGATCTGTATGATAATCTCAAGAGAAAAGGAGATCCCTAACCTTCTTCTGACCTATAAAATGGCAGGTTTTCCATACAACGTGAGCACTACTTGTTGCTGGTAAGAATTATGAATGTTTCAATTTTCATACCTTTTCTGCAAAAGAAGTGGTCAAGATAATTAGAAATTTTCAATAATACTCATATATTGATCATAAAATGCTCATATAATACTCAAGTAATGCTCACATAAATCCTCACATATCACCAAAACTGTTTTCATATCTGAAATTCTTTGAAGAAAATAGATTATGTTTGAACTTTTTAAGTTTGGCAGACAAAACATAAGATTTAAATTTCATTGAGATTAAATTAGGTTGCTGATTCTAGAAATGTGCAATAGCATCAAAAGCAATTAATGCTTTATGACTTCTCCCCTGTTAAACAAATTCAACCTCATATGTGCAAGCCACATTGAACAGCAACTGCTGGCTGTAAATCAGCCAACTACTAGCTGTGAACTTGTCTCATGTCTTTGATTATGAATTTCACATGTAGTGGAAAAGAAACTGACTTCAGTAACCAGCTGCTTTTGCTTAGTTGTCTGTGCGTTAGGTAGAGACAGAATTCCTTCTTTAAATACATTTATGTTCACTACAGCTTCCTGTGGTTTATTAACACAGCTGGAACCGCTCCAAGGTTATATCGACATTAAGAAAAAAAAAAAGAAAAAAAAAAAAAACCCAAAAAAAACTACCAAGAAAAAAACAAGCCCAAAACAAAAAAAGTCAATGAACAATTGCTCACTTGTTTTGATTAACATACTCGCAGTGAACCCCATATCCTCAACACACTGTTTCAAATTAAAACACTTAGTATCTAGCAAGTATTGACTAGAAATCAGCAACCTCATCTCACTGACAGTGTAAGGAAGGATCCGATTATGTATCTATAAAAAGCTATGTTTTAAAACAAAACAAAACAAAGAAAAAAAAAAGAAAGCTTGATTGAATACATGTCAAATGTAATATATTCAAATTACTTCTCTCTGTGGATAACTTTTTTTCAAGTTAATTCAGAAGAAAATACATGCCACATCAATTAAAAGAGTAAAGCTGTAGGTTTGTGCCTGAGAAGAACCACATAAGTGACTACTTATCA